TCACAAATGACATCACCAAAGAGCCAGAGAGCGCTGGGGAACTGGTCGCTTTTAACTATTTAATGGACGGACTCGAGGGACGGGTGGCTTTCTTAGAGGAGAGACTTGAGTACCTGCGAGAGTTATACGACCTAATGGGGGAGTTCAATATTGGTATTCCACCAGAAGATATGAATGAATTCTTAGGTACTCTCCTTCTTTATTTTTATATTAACAACAATTTATATATACAGGGTGACTGGTGAATTACTATCGATATTTGAGGACGTGATATTTGACGATCATATATGACAAAATAAAAATTAATATAACATAAATATTAATAAAATTCTAAGTAAAGTTAACCAAAAGTTATGTAATTAATTACGCATCGTATGAACACTCTACAGATTAGGTATACACACACACTCACACATACGCGCGCGGCGGCGTGTTGTTGTATCAGCACGCTGCCGCACGCGTCCACACTTGGAACACTTGGAACGTGTCTACACTTTATTTATTTATACGGAAATTTGGTAAAAAATTAAGTACCTATATTTTTTACATAATTCGAATGAGAATCATGTACCGAGTATGCTCCTTAAAATTTAAATATTGATAGTAATTCACCAGTCACCCTGTATAGTATGTTGGGTAACATCTACTTATTATTTTTTCTCAATATTGGAGAACGCTTAGTCCTTTTTACTTACAAATAGGATAGAAATAATACTTAAATGTCGTAATAAATAGCACTTACTATTTCTTTTTCATAGGTCTCAGCGTGGTGCTAGGAACTCTTCGCACTAACGTGGATGCGATACTTGAAACTCGAAGTAAACTAGCCGGCATGTTCGCTAGCCAAATTGGTAAAGACATTATGGAACTTATTCTGGACGTGAACAAGCTTAGGGAAGAAATTGCTGTAAGTTTCTTAGTTGTCGCTGGTGAAAGTAAATCCCTATTATATATTTTTTATGCTTTTGTAATTCGCAAACAATAAAATAGTAATATAAAACTAGGTGTAAGCAAGTGAAAAAGAAACAATATTTCATTACACGTATATTATCTATTTGGATGTAATTAAAATATTGATATAAATACAGAAACCATGGCTTTATGACGAAAAATCGGATATGGAGAAAGTAGTAGAGACTCTGAACGATCTGACGGAGAAGTTGAACGGATTCACGGCCAGGGACAAGCAAATACGAGAATGGCAAAAAATATTTAAGGTAAGCGATACTTCGTTTACTATTCTGGTTAGTTTTTACTCATTGATGTGCAAATTTAACCATAAGTATGTATAATTTATAGTTTAATTTACAACATTATTTTTCAATAGATATAAAGTTTATTAGAATAAGATTATAATTTTATATATTTATTTTATAACATAGATACCCCCGGCGCGATTGGATCAATTGGATGAAGCCATAACGGACGTGAAATTGAGACAACTTTTATGGAAATCAGCTAAGGAATGGAACGAAGCTTACACGTCTTGGTAATAAGTTGAACTATTATAGAAATTTAAAACAAAAAACAACCGTTTACTGTTATCCTAATTTCTTAACAAAAAATTGTTGTAATGTTCAAATTGTTGACAAAAGAAATTGATATATTGCAATTAATTTTAAGGTATGAACTACCTTTTAATACTTTGGATATGGATGATATACAGACAACTACATTAAATTTCGGGAAAGTATTCAATCAGTTGGATAAGGGACTACCGCCTAACAAAATTGTTCCTGGATGTAAAGCAACTATTGATATCATCAAGGAAAAGGTAATTTGGTATTTAATAGACACTTTGTTTTGTATTTTTTTTTGTATCGTTATATATTTGCCTCTCCTCGCTTCGCTTGAGATATAAGCCATGTTATGAGGCTATTTAACTTTTAAATAAAAGAACAATACCAAAAGATCACAGAGGTCGAAATAAGATATTTTAGTTGTCACATTTAATTAGTTTCTACAATCCACCCTATTGCTGTGAGCGTCACGATTATACATCCAGAACATCACTGGAATTTTATGAATAACCTCGTCTCAATTTAGTTCTGTTACTGAAGTAATTACTTTAACCAGTTACCAGTGATGTCATATCTGCGGAACCCGGCGTTGAAACCGCGTCATTGGGTGAAGATTGAGGAGATATTGAAGACCAGATTCACACCAGAGATGGTTGTCACACTTGGGCTGTTGGAGGAGCTTCAAGCCTTCCAACACGCTGAGGAATTGATGGAAGTAGCGGGACAGGCTAGCTCAGAAGCTGGTCTGGAGGCGCTTTTGAAGAAGGTACAATATACTTTTTGGCAAAAAATAAACTATTTTTTTATATTTAGTAATACATAAAATTCAAAAGTGTTGTTACAAGAAATATAAACACGTAGGCCCACAATCCAACGTGTGGTTTTTACACTTAGTAATTACTCGTATCTTTGATCTAGTATTTATATAACACAGTATTCTTAGTCAGATATATATCAACATAAACTAATATTGTGGTATACAAAAACTGATGTTCTTAGTAAAATAGTTATTTAATAAACATTGATATTACAGATGATATTATTGGCAATGTTTTATCGTTCAGCAGTTGATATAGGTATAAGATTTTTTTAAATTATATAATTCAGTTTAAGCGATAATAAAACTTCAGGTTGAAGAAATATGGGCCACATTGGAATTCCCAGTAATTTTACACAAGGACGCCCGCGATGTGTACGTATTGGGTGGTCTGGATGAGATACAGGCGGCTGTTGACGAGAGCAACATCCACGTCAGTACCATACTGAGTTCAAGAAATTGTGGACCGATTAAGAGCAGAGTGGAAGAATGGGCTAAAAATTTGGATTTGTTCTCAAAGACTCTAGTCAGTAATTTATACACGACAGTCAGTAATTTATAAACGACGAAACAAGTCAGTAATTTATACGTATAATGTATAAATTACTGACTTGTTTCGTCGTTAATATTTAATATGCTATATAAAGTTAATTGTACATATATGTAAAGTAATAAAAATATCTAGGATTTGCCATTTATGAATAAAATCAAGAACGCAACGAAAATATATCTTGAAAAAAATATCGTGCCTATTGCGTTTTGTATATAAGTTATACCGTTTTAGTTTGGTTATTAAACTTACAAAAAAGTTATAAAAAATCAATTGATATAATTTATTTCTATGTATCCTCTATCTTGTAATACTCGAGAGACCATAACGAATCCGTGCCTAAATAATATTAATATTATATTAGAAGAAAAGGTAAATTTCAATGAATAATACTTGTTAAGAAGCTGAATCATTCAAATTTTGTTTTCAGGAAGAGTGGTACCTTTGCCAGCAGACGTGGATATACTTGGAAGTAATTTTCTCGGCGCCAGATATCCAGAGACAGCTGCCAAATGAGACTAGGCTTTTTACGATTGTAGATAAATCATGGAAAGATATCATGAGGAAACTTGCTAAGGTGCTTCGGTCTTTACAATAATTTAAATGAATTTTATTCATCTCCTAATATAATCCATATTCTCTTGAGATTATTCCTAGAAGTAAATTGATGTTATAATCAGAATAATTCGTCGTGAAAATGCTCTTAATAATCTTTTTTTACTCGTATAGGAAAACTTTAAAATAATTTTCATTAAATTACAGGTTCCATTAGCCATGCCAGCGGCGACACAACCGAAGTTGTATGATGAGTTTGTTCGTAATAACGAAATGCTAGACCAAATTATGAAATGTCTTGAAGCGTATCTAGAAACAAAAAGAGTCGCTTTCCCCAGATTCTTTTTCCTGTCGAATGATGAACTACTTGAAATTCTGGCTCAAGTATGGATTTGATTTAAAAATATAACATTAAACAAAATCCTAAACTATTAAAAAACACGTTTCACTAAATACTATTTTATAGAGCTATAAACATTTTTCAGACACGTAATCCTCACGCAGTTCAGCCACACTTACGTAAATGTTTCGATGCAATCGCCAAATTGGAGTTTGGGGTTAAATTGCCGGAGAGTGAGATGGAAATAACGGAGGACGGGACGTTGGTGGAGAAAGAGATGTCATTCAACACTCGTGACGCACTACAAGCAAAGCTGGCAAAAACAGCCAAGCAAGAGGATCTCACCACTGATATAATAGCAATGCTCTCACCGGAAGGAGAAAGAATAAATCTAGGAAAGGTATGAAGGTTGTTTAGAGTTTAAGATAGCGAATAGAATTTCTGGATGTTATGTAACATTATGAAAAAAAATATTCTAGGGACTGAAAGCACGCGGTAATGTAGAAGACTGGCTGGGTAAAGTGGAGGAGGCAATGTTTGCGTCCGTTAAACGTTGTATGAAATTCGCTTTACGAGATTATTTGGTACGACCACGAGTAGAATGGGTCACCTTGCATCCTAACCAGGTCATTTATACTAGTTGATTTTTAATTCTTCTTTGTCTTAATACTGTTGAAAACATTTATGGTTTCGAAAATTACCTATCATATTTTTTATTCCTTGTTAAAATTTTAGATAGTCTTAACCGTATCACAAATCATGTGGGCGAAGGGTGTCCATGAGATATTAGCGTTAGATTTACCACTACGTATAGACACCGGTCTGATAAATTACGAAAAGAAATGTATAGCCGACTTAAATGATCTGGCGGCGCTCACAAGGAAGGACCTTAGCTCCTTATTTCGCAAGGTTCTATGCGCTCTCATTACAGTTGATGTTCACGCACGAGATACGATCACTCACATGGTTGAGAAACATGTACAAAAAGCGTAAGTTATTATAATATTTTCATATTCTTGAGATGTATGTACCTATGCGGTTTGAGAAGTATTACAAAAACAAAACGTTTGATAATTTTATTTCGCATATAGGTAAGAATATACTTTATTTTACATTTTAGTGATGATTTCGAGTGGCTTAAAATGATTCGTTACTACTGGGAAGAAGATATCGATAATTGTGTTGCTCGGATGTCAAGCGCTATGTATATTTACGGTCATGAGTATCTTGGAGCTGGAGGTAGGTTTAATAATATTTACCTTGATTTTTTTGAACACATTTAACATGAAAATAATAAAGGATTCCTAAATAACACTCGAGTTGGGCACAATACTTATTAAATTGAGTACTCCCGTTTCTAGTAATAGTTATAGTAATAAATTAATATTTTTTATTGTATTTACAATCAGTGTAAATGATAATGAATAGACATCAGTAAATAAGCTCATAGAAAACGCCAATACATATATGTATTATGTTATAGGTGTGCTCGTTATAACTCCTTTGACGGATCGATGCTACCTATGTCTGATGGGCGCGCTTCAGCTGGACCTGGGCGGAGCACCAGCGGGTCCAGCTGGCACCGGGAAGACAGAAACAACCAAAGACCTGGCCAAGTCACTCGCCATACAGTGCGTCGTATTCAATTGTTCAGAGGGTGGGTTCTATATTTGTAATGGTATAAATTAATTGTCCACAAATAATAGTAACAATATCGCCTCATCATAATATCATTATTCATAATGTATTGAGTATATAATATATCGTAATATCATTATGTTACCAACAGGTTTGGATTACAAAATGATGGGTCGCTTCTTCTCTGGTCTGGCCACGTCGGGAGCTTGGTGTTGCTTCGACGAGTTCAATAGAATTGATATAGAAGTGTTATCAGTGATCGCGCAACAACTCATCACTATAAGGAATGCAAAGGTTGCTAAACAATCCAGGTAAGTTTTTTTGTTAGTAGCATATAACACGAGTTAATCAACTATAATAATTTAGAACGATTAATTTCAATCTTAAGGAAAACAATTTACATAAAACTTTTTTTCATCTGGGTCCTTCCAACGAAAGACTTTTATTATCCTTTTGAAAAATTAATAACACTTAGATGAAAACAAAATCAAATAGAATGCTTCGAGAGAGAGAATCAAATTATTTATAAAGTGACTATAGTTGTAAGGAAATAATACGAAAAATCTGAAAAGAAAAATATAAGAAGGCAAATTATTTTCATTACAGGTTTATGTTTGAAGGTCGTGAGATTAAACTCGTTAGAACTTGCGCTGCATTTATTACAATGAACCCGGGCTATGCGGGCAGGACAGAACTCCCTGATAACTTGAAAGCTCTGTTTCGTCCCATCTCCATGATGGTACCCGATTATGGTGACTGATATTTTTTGAATAATCATTTTTATTAAATACGTTTGTATGTTCGCTATATGAACTAAAACTGAACTGCTCATAGAAGAATGTTTTGGGTATTACTAATAACAAATGCAAGAATAATATATATATATGTCGGCACTAGCGCGCCAACTAAACATAACTATAACCAACACGTGCACCGATCACGCCACCGAGCGCGTGATTCGATGCCCCACTCTACCAACTACTAGCTGTATAAAAGACGTGCGCGATTATTCTACAGGAGTCTTGGCTCTGACGTGGCGTGGTGCACTAGTTGTACTTAGCCTGTTAACCTTGACTCTTTGGATAATTAATTTGTGAAAACGAATTAATTATTATTCTGATGTTGTAATTTGGTCCTTGGACTAATTATATCCGATTTCAACTATTATTCAGTTTAAAAGAACTTCATGCCTTGAATTATGGCCCATCCATTTTATCCATTTTTATCTTATATTCCTACATCAGAAGTGGGATAGCGATCCACCTCCATCTCATAATCAAACCAACTTCTCTCTCTCTCTCTCTCTCTCTCTCTCTGCCTAGCCTCTTCCCATTTCAATTGGGGTCGGCTCTCCTCGTCATTCTTCGCCAGGTTGGTCTTGTATGGTCGAGACATCAAGTTGGGCTTCCTTTAGGTCCTTGTTTATAACCGACATCCAAGTTAAAAAGGGTCTCCCTCGTTTCTTAGGTCCGGTATCTAAGCTCAGGACTTGTCTTGTCATGTTGTCTTCAGGTCTTCTCATTACGTGGCCATACCATCTCAAACGCGCTTCTAAGAGCTTTTCTTCGATTGGGCGGATCTTGAAACTCCCACGGATATATTTGTTTTTCACTTTATCCGTAATAGTGACTCCTCCTGCCCATCTCAGCATTCTCATTTCCGTCGTGTGCATTTTTATGGTATGAGTCTTCTTCACAGGCCAGCATTCAGCACCGTGGATAAGGGCGCGGCGAACCGCGGTTTTGTATGCCTTTCCTTTAACTCTTATCGGCATTCTTCTATCGCATAAGACACCTGATAGTTCCCGCCACTTCATCCATCCTGTCTTAATTCGGTGGTTTATATCGGCGTCGATCGTACCATCATTTGTGATTACAGAGCCCAGATACTTAAAATTTGCTACTTCCTTCAGATGGTAGCCTTGAAGCTCAACCGGTTGACATTGATTGGAACCTGAAAAGTAGCAACGCATGTATTCAGTTTTTTGGCGGATGATCTTTAAACCGGCGTTCTTCAGGGTGGATCTCCAGGTTTCCAAAGATGCTTCTAGGTCTTCGCGGCTATGTCTAATGAGGACGATATCATCCGCGTAGAGGAGGTCCCAGGGTGGATGTTTTTGTATATCTGCTGTGAGGTAATTTACCACGAGATTAAAAAGTAAAGGACTCAAAGCTGAGCCCTGGTGCACACCTACTTCTACGTGAAATTCATCGCTTAGACCTGCTGGGGTTCGTACTTTTGTTGTAACTTTGTTGTACATATCTATAACCGCTTTAACATAGTATTCCGGGACATTTTGCGATCGAAGCGATTGCCATATTAGTTCTCGTGGTACTCGATCGAATGCCTTCTCTAAGTCCATAAAAGCGAGATGTAGGTCTTTTTTTAATATTTTATACTTTTCCAATAGAATCCTTAGAGTATGTAGAGCGTCTGTTGTAGATCTTCCTTCTACGAAGCCACATTGATTTTCAGTTACCTTAGTAAGTTTCACCAGTCTGTTGTTTATGACCCTTTCCCATATCTTAAAAGTATGTGGTATAAGTTTTATGGCGCGATAGTTGTCACAGAGTCTGACGTCACCCTTGTTTTTATAGAATGGAATTAGGTAGCTTTTTCTCCATTCACTAGGTATTCCATCACATAAGATTCTATTGAAAAGCGTTTTTAGGTACTGGACGCCGACTTCCCCTAAATTTTTCCATAGCTCCACGGGAATCTCATCAGGACCATTCGCCTTGTTATTTGCCATCATTTTAACGGCATTTCTGACTTCTTCGGTGGAAATTTCCTGAATAGGTCCTTCTACGGCATTTTCTACGGTTGGTACCTTAAATTGGGAGCTCTCGTTGAGAAGATGGGAATAGTGCTCCCACCATCTCGCCTTTATGTCGGAGTTAGAAGTGAGCAAGTGACCATCTTTGTTTTTGATATATTTTGTTGTTCGTATATTCAAGCTGTTCGCGTATCTATATCTTGCAAGTCGAAATAGTTCTCTATCATCTTTGGCATTTTCCAATTTGTTATAAAAGTCTTCGTCACAGGTCGCCATAGCACGAGCAACCTCCCTTTTCGCCTCTTTTTTTTACTCTGCGATAGATTTCGCGATCATCATCGCTGCCGCTTTTTTGCCAGATCTTAAAACGGTTTTTCTTATTTCTCACTTTTTCTTCCACGTTTGGCTGCCACCATTTAGCTTTTTTTGTTGTTTGTAAGCGGTCCTCTGGTGACTCCCAATAATTCGAAAGCCTTACTCAGACAGTGGTCTTGGAAACGGTTAGACATTGTTTCTGCTGTGATATCGTCTTGTTGTAATATGTTTTCAATGTATTGCTTAACATTTACGATCAGTTGGTCACCTTCCGTGAGTATTATCAAACCAACTGCATTGAAAAGAAAAAAAAAAAAAAGTTTTTTTTTTGGAATGGAAGCAATTTTATTAAAATTAACAGATAGTTTAAACCAGCATCCTATTAATCCACCTCTACTTTCTCTTTTTAATCCTATGTCCCCCAGATGGGGCAGAGGGCATCAATTATTTGCCTGTCAATGGCTTCCAGAGTCCACGTCCGGACTAAACTTTGATAAGCTTGTGAAGGTGAACGGTCTAGCTCATTAGAGTCTATGTCCGGGTCATCGTTCACTGATTTTCTAATAAAAAAAAGAGCGTCAAGACCCAAAAAAAAAGAGTAAAGAAAAAAAAAAGTTTAAAAAAAAGAGTAAAAAAGTAAAAAAAAAAAGTTAAAAGAAAGTTAAAAAAAAAAAAGTCAAAAAAAAAGTCAAACAAAAAAAAGAGATAAAAGTAAAAAAAAAGCAAAAAAAAAAGGAAGGTTAAAAAAAAGTAAAAAAAGAAAGTTTAAGAAAAAAAGAGAGTAAAAAAAAAAAAGATTAAAAAAAGAAAAATTAAAAAAAAGAGTAAAAAGGAAAAAAGTAAAAAAAAAAAGAAAGTGTAAAAAAAAGAAGGCAGAGAGTTGAAGGGCTTACGCCGGTCCAACCGTGTGGCTGTAGGGAATCATAATTCCGGTCCAGCATGAAGGCTATAGGGAATAGTAATTCCGGTCTAGCAAAAGCTATAGGGAATACTAGTTCCGGTCTAGCAAAGAAAAAAAAATGTGGCTGAAGGGAATTATAATTCCGGTCCAGCATGAATGCTACAGGGAATAGTGATTCCGGTCTAGCAAAGGCTATAAGGAATAGTGATTCCGGTCTAGCAAAGGCTATAGGGAATACTAGTTCCGGTCTAAGGCTATAGGGAATACTAATTCCGGTCTAGAAAAGGTTACAGGGAATAATTATTCCGGCCTAAGCTCTCTAGAGAAATTACTAATGACATCTTTTGCAGGACCTCAGGACGGATCAGAACTAACTACCATAACTCTGAAGGGTCAGTGTGGACCGAACCAGACACTATAATATTGTCAGGATAGTCGAACGATATTTGAGGCGCGTGCGAGGGCGCACGCATGTCAGCATGGCCGTGTCGGCACTAGCGCGCCAACTAAACATAACTATAACCAACACGTGCACCGATCACGCCACCGAGCGCGTGATTCGATGCCCCACTCTACCAACTACTAGCTGTATAAAAGACGTGCGCGATTATTCTACAGGAGTCTTGGCTCTGACGTGGCGTGGTGCACTAGTTGTACTTAGCCTGTTAACCTTGACTCTTTGGATAATTAATTTGTGAAAACGAATTAATTATTATTCTGATGTTGTAATTTGGTCCTTGGACTAATTATATCCGATTTCAACTATTATTCAGTTTAAAAGAACTTCATGCCTTGAATTATGGCCCATCCATTTTATCCATTTTTATCTTATATTCCTACATATATTTAAATAACAGAAAAGACGTGAATAATATATATATTTGAATTTCTTCAAATTAAGTTACTACATTTCGTTAAAATATTTTATAACTTATAAAATCCGCTTATACTTTCCATAGATGTGTTAGGTTAGGTTAGTATTTGTTAGAATAAATAAAAAATATATTAAAACACATATGTACTCTTAATTGAACCATACATATCATATTTTAAATGAGCCTACAGTGAGAGATTTTATAGAACAAAAATCATAATGGTTTTTGTTATATAAAATGTGTAAGCTTATTTCACGTGCATTACAATTTAAGATTAAACGAAACATTCATTTACGGTGAAGCTAAATATGGACCATTTTCTAGCTTTAATAGCTGAAGTCATTCTATACTCCGAGGGTTTCGAGTCCTCAAAGGGTCTGGCCAAGAAGATGGTGCAAATGTATAAATTATCAAGCGAACAGTTATCCAAACAAGATCATTACGACTTTGGGATGAGGGCCGTCAAGAGTGTGTTGGTATGTCAGATGTTAGAGTAATTCATATACGTTTATCATCAAAATTCTTAATTTTATTCAATTATGTTTATTTCGTATTATTTACATTAACATACCCCATTGCAATTGACGTACTTTCATGCACGATTTGCTTCACGTCAAAAATAATAAGGTGATTTGTTTCGTATTTTTATTACATCGACGTACGTTATAGTTATGAATTAATGTGATTAAAAACATCAGAATTGTATGTATTTACTTCAATGGCAAGAATAACATAAAATAAAATGTTAAGAAATTCTAGAAATAAGTTTGATTTAAATATTAACATTAATTTAGGTAATGGCGGGTGCTTTGAAACGCGCCAGTCCTGATCAGCACGAAGAGAAAACTCTACTCTGTGCTTTGAACGACAGTAACCTGCCTAAATTCTTGGCCGCGGACGCGATTCTATTCGCCGGAATATTATCAGATTTGTTCCCCGGAGTTGATCTACCTGAAAGGGATTACGGTGTCATGGTTGACGTTATAAGTAAGTCTTTATAAAATGAACTTTACTATATGTTCAACTTGACAAGTTTTTCAAAATATTTTCTTATAATTAAAGAAGAAAAGTATATGCCATAATTACAAAAAAATATTCGGAAAAACTATTGTTATTTATTGAATAAGGAAACATAATTAGAGACGTTTTATTCAATTAGTAATGGAAGTCTTGGTTAAAACATGAAAATTACTCATGTCTAGAAGGCCTTTACTTTACTTTACTCATGTTGAGAAGGCCGTTACCCAAACAGAGGTCCATATTTCATAACACTAACATACTATACTAACATAAACCAAAACATATATTATAATGTAATTGTACCATTGTAGAAATAAGGAATAAAAAGGCTTATTATTATTAGTATATAAGTAACTGTATTGGACTAAAAGTTTGATTACTAAACATTTTGTTTACACTTTATAATAAACTAGCTGAAATGCTGCTGGAGAGAAAACTGCAGGTAATGACGTGTCAGATCAGGAAGGTGATTCAGCTCCACGAAACTATGATAGTGAGGTGGGGCGTGATGCTGGTTGGACCGACAGGTGGAGGGAAAACTGTCGTACTTCATGTAAGTAACAAATCTATAATCCTACTAATATTATAAATCCAAAAACTTGTGAGGATATACGAATCACTAAATTACTAGATGCTTATTGCATTGTATTTTGTATTATATCCAACAAAACATACTATAAATATGCACTTGATTATATTATATATTGTTATTACGGCTTATACCTTACCCTGCGAGCCGACTCACGAATTTCACGCGTAAAACTGGCAAAAAATTGTCGTTCCATTTGTTATTTCCAAGGTAATGTTAAGAATTAGCAAAAAAATCCATTTTGAAATAAGAACCTAATCTTTACTTGAAATGTCTAGAAAAATCCAGTTTGTCTAAAGACGCTTTCGTCTGTTACAGGTGCTGGGTGACACTTACACTCGTCTGTATGAAAACGGTGTCGTAGGTCCACAGTATCAACAAGTACACAAATATATAATGAATCCAAAAAGTCTAACTATCGGGGAACTGTACGGCGAGGTCAATTTACAAACACTTGAGTGGCACGATGGCATACTGCCTCTGTCACTGAGAACCGCAGTGCAGGTAAATGATGCTTAAAAAACGCGAGGTATTCTATAAGAACAAAACTGTACAGACAAAACATTACGGCCATATATCTTTATACTAAATTTCTTCTGTTGTGGTTATTAAAATTAGATATTATATGTGTGTATAATATCAACTTTGTTTCAAATAAGTTCGAGACTCCTGACCACCAATGGCTGATCTGCGATGGTCCGGTGGATGCTGTGTGGATAGAGAACATGAACACGGTCCTGGATGACAATAAAATGCTTTGTCTCTCAAACTCTGAGAGAATCAAGCTCACGCCTTACGTGCATATGGTGTTCGAGGTACGGGATTACATTAATTATATACCTACTAATCTTATAAATGCAACAGTAACTCTGTCTAACTATCTGTCTGCTACCTTTTCACGCTTTAACCACTGACTCGATTAAGATAAATTATTGAGATATAGATAGAACCCTGAAGAAGGTCATAGGCTACCTTTTAGACTTTAGACTGACAAATTTCCTTTGTGTTGAAAAATTTGTCACAAACGTGTGTTACATAAATTATACCATTGTTCGAAATTATTTGGCTATTTTGTATAGGTTAACATGTATTTCGTTTCCGGTTAGGGTAAGGCAATTAATTTGCTGATGAGATGAAACTTCTTAGCATTCAATGGATTCATCGGGTCCATGGACACTATAGCTCTTATAAAATTAAAGCTATTTATATTCTAGACATCACTATGTTAATATTAAATAAAATTGTAACGAATCATATATTAATGAATACAACTGTCTAATGTACGTTTGTCAATTTTATTCTAGGTGGCAGACTTAGCGCAGGCTTCTCCGGCGACTGTTTCTCGTTGTGGTATGGTGTACATAGACCCTGATGAGATGGGTTATTTACCTTATGTACGTTCCTGGCTAGAAGCTGCAGTTGACCGAAACCTCGTAAATCAAGAAAACTCCGAGTTTCTGTACGAATTGTTCAAAATGTTGGAGGTGGGAGTCAATCATGTTAACACCAAATGCAGTGTGGGAATCAAACAGGTTAATATGACGAATAAAAAATATATAATAGAAAGTAAATACAAACATTCACACTGTTTTGTAATGGATATATTTTTTTTGTTATTTGCATATTTCATTTCGATTATCTTACTACTGTTTATTTATGTAGACCTAACAAAAGTGTTTTAGATATTTTTCAAATGCGAGTACTGTTTATTTATTTCACATATGGCAGGTAGCTGACATATATTTTTCATCAACTTAAATAATGCCACTCTATAGTAATTCATACACAATATGGACATATATTTTAAACGACTTCCAGGTGGACATTAGTAAAGTATCAGCACTGTGTGTCTTACTTGGCGCTTTGCTTGGAGAACCTGGTGATAGATTCTCGGATAAAGCAGCAGTTAAAATTTATATAGCGCACTGTTTTATATTCTGCTACGTGTGGAGCATTGGTGGAAACATTATTGAAGCCAACAGAAAGACTTTTGAGGAGATCATTAAAAGGCAGTTTGAAACCTTCGAAGAGGCTGAATAGTAAGACAAATTAAAGTTCATTTATTATTTAAAAACAAAAATAAAGATCTATATTAATATTAACTAAATTAAAATAGATGTAATTATGTTTTTACTTTAATTTCGTCTAGCTTTCCCCAAGGCTTCAATTTCTTTGATATGTATATGGATACGCGTCATCGTAAACTGAAGGTGTGGGCGGAGATCATTCCCGAGTTTATCTACGACTGTAATAAACCTTTCTTCGAGACTCTAGTACCGACGATCGATACAGTAAGATATGGATACTTATTCGAGAAGCTTCTGACTGCTGGGAAACCAGTTATGTTCACTGGAAATACTGGTAATTAAATAAAAAATCTTAATCTCGTTGCATTATTAATTTTATATTTTTATAGTAAAATATATTTTGTATCAAATTAAAGGTGTTGGAAAAACAGTGGTAGCAGCGGAGGTTCTTAAGAAAATGTCGTTAACTGGCACCTTTATTCCTGTAATGCTGAATTTCTCAGCTCAAACGAGTAGTATACGAACTCAAGTAATAACTTTCCTTATTTGCATTACTCAGTTATGTTTATAGTTTAATAAATGTTGACCTTTAATAGGAAGTTATCGAGTTACGTTTGGACAAGCGCCCTAGGAAAGCGATCGGTGCGCCGCTAGGAAAGAAGGTTATTATATTTATTGATGACGTCAACATGCCGCGTCTTGATGTATATGGAGCTCAACCCACCATTGAACTTCTACGGTAATATATTGACACTTGTTAACTTCTCTTATAATTTATTTAGAAAAATGGAATAATTTGAATTTAAGATATATATATATATTTGGTTTTAACATAGATTTATCAATTATATCATCGTAATAATCGTACGACGGAAGTCGAAATTAGTTTAAATATATTTATTGGGTCTATTACTTATTACTTTATCTGATTTGTCATATATAAAAGTGTACTCTTAAACTATATATGCTTTCATACATGACTATGTCACTAACGGTGATGATATTTCCAGTCAGTATCTGGATTTTGGCGGTGTATATGACCGAGACAAGCTATATTGGAAGGATATCCTGGACGTGGTGTTATCGTGTGCGTGCGCTCCGCCCGGGGGTGGGAGAAATCCACTCACAGCTCGCTTCGTGAGACACTTCGCAATGTTCTTTATATCCGCACCAAACGCTGAGGCTATGAAAACCATATTTAAGGTAACATACATATTGATTATTAGGAACTGAAACAAGATACGTACAAATAGGTAATTAATAACAATTGCTTCACTAATAATTTTTTTTGATTAATTATTTGACTTTGTGTATCTACATATTGTGTATTGTATTTTGATAAAATCTCATACCCATCATTATGCTGTATAGTGGGCATTTCATGAACTTTAACTCTATGGAATATGCGTTATAAATAATATTATACATAAATTTTGTTATCTTTACATTAACAGGCAATTCTAAACGGGCACATGGAGGACTTCGTTACTGAAGTGTCGGTTCTCGGAGAACCCATAGTCAACGCAGCCGTAGAAGTTTACCTCAAGATTTGTGCGGAGTTGTTGCCAACGCCTGCTAAGTCGCATTATGTATTTAATTTGAGAGATCTTTCCAAATCAATGCAGGGAGTGCTACAAGCAAACGCCGCTTACATGAGACTCCCTCAAGGGATGCTTAGGTAAGGAATATATAAAAAAATATTTTGAATGTATAATCTATAAACATTTTTTATTACTTTACTTTACTAAACTTTACTAATACTAATTAGTTTTAAATATGTTTATTATCACAACAGGCTCTTCTATCACGAATGTCTGCGAGTATTTCACGATCGTCTAATCAATATAGAGGACAAGAGTTACTTCTTCCATCTCATGAGTAACGTCTGCCAAAAGAACTTTCAGCATTCGATCTTGGAAATACCGGATACTCCTATCATAGAGGACCCACCGTTGCTACTTTTCGGTGACTTTCTTAACTCGGCCATACCAAAAGAAAACAGGATCTACCAGGAAATACCTGACATAGATAAATTAATGGTTGTCTTGAAGGTACTGTAACTATTAATCTTTACTTTTATTTTGTCAACTTACGCTATGGTTTTGAAACAATACTTTTTGTTTTAAAACAATTGCTGAATTATAATAAAATATAAAGAGTTATTCTTAGTAAAAGATTTATAAAATGTCTTTACTTTTTTATTTACCTACTAATAAATATCCATATTCAATTTACGTTACAAGCTATTACACTTCGATATTAATCAGATAGATTTCAAAACGACTTTCACATCTACACCAAAATTCATAAAAAAATTGGACTATACATATGTTTCCAATTCTAGATGGATCAGTAATATTTGTCTAATATTATGACTAACTCTATTACATTGCAGGAATATTTAGAGGAGTATAATTCAACGGCTCGCGCCGAGATGCACTTGGTGTTGTTCCGCGACGCTGTCGAGCATGTCGTGCGTGTGGCGAGGGTTTTACGCGCGGAGCGAGGTCATTGTCTGATGGTTGGCACTGGAGGCTCGGGCAGACGGTCCGTGGCAACACTGGCTGGACATGTCAATGAGTGCAAGTTAGATATATTCATACATATCTTAAGTAAAATGAGACGAAACCTCTCAGATTTCCATGGATTCACCATGGATCGGATTGCAGGGAGAGGAACTTCAATAGCGCTTGGGACCCGCGACCTGGTTGCATATTTAAGGGATCCCTATCTAACGCGCCCCTATTTAAACAGTTACCTCCACCGTCCAGGCTCCTCTCTCTACTTATCCAAATTTGAAACGAACCTACAAAGACTGTGTTTCGACGCAAGTTCCAAGAATGAACTGTTCTTAGTTCTTGACAGGCCCAAGTCTTTTAGTAGGTTGTACAGAGATTTGGCTCTTATACTTCTCGCTCCTACTTTTACCGCGTTTACAAATTTACAACGAACCTATTCTTAGTGAGTTTGATACTAATCTTTTAGTCAACTCGTTTTTTTTTGTATTAATTGCTGATTGTTATTATTTTCCGTCAGATGTATGGGTATGGAGTTAAAGCGCAATTACGATACTCCAGAATTCCACGACGATCTCCGTAACATGTACATGCGTGCCGGCGTCTCCGGTGACGATACTGTCTTCCTGTTTACTGATACACAAATCACCAAGGAAGAGTTCCTCGAGGACATCAATAATATGCTCAACTCAGGTTAGTGCACACATTCTTTGTTTGATGCGGATTTTAGAAAAGATTGGACAAACAGTTCGCTTACATATACATATATTAATGTTCGTAATTTTTTGTATAATGAGCTGTTTTATGACTGTGCGTATGACTTTGTAAACCTCATTGTTTTTTGGTATATTTTTGGCAGCATGGTTATTATAAGTATATAATTTCAACCACATGTTGTCAATACCTAAACATCAGGTTTATTATTTTTATTATTCCCCATTTTAGGTCGCCCTGATATTTCATTTGTGTATTGTTTTTTTTTTATTAATTTGGACTTCAAAAGTATGATTTTTAAATATCTGTTATCTAATTAAGCAGACACGTGAAATAATTATTTCCTACCCATAGATAACTTAAGTTGGGGTTTAAGTAAAATTTTTAAGTAATACAAAAGTGTAATATAATTTAAAAATAGTATTTTAATATCCATGTACGGATTTAAGGTAATTAAAGCCGAAAAGCAATATTAATTAATTTTTCCTATCCAGGTGAAGTACCGAATCTGTTTGAGGGCGACACTTACGAGCAGGTTCAATCGGGTTGTCGAAATGAAGCAGCAAAAGTAGGAATAAATCCATCAGATAGAGACGCTGTTTATTATTACTTCATTAACAAGGTGCGGTCGAAGCTGCATCTGTGTATATGTATGAGCCCAGTCGGAGAGGCGTTCAGGTATAAAATGCTTAGTAAAAAATTAATCTGTATCAATATCCGAGGCTATGTTATTCATCAATTATTAACAAATTTTTAAAGCTAATCTCTCTTTCTATAAGCTGAAACAAAGTTACATTAAAAAGAAGTTAGCAGTTAAACAAGCAAAGATTATAATAGTATTTATTTGTGTGTAAGAAAATTAAAGAATTATTATCAATAAATTCACTTTATATATCTTAATATGATAAAATAAAAGGAGATGATTCTCTAAAAAATTATAACTACATATATTAAGAAAATAATTCAATAATCTTTATGATGAAAAGGCTTATATAATGTTTATCAGACGTCGCTGTCGCATGTTTCCCTCCCTGGTAAACTGCTGCACCATAGACTGGTTCACAAAGTGGCCACCAGAGGCTCTGCGTTCTGTGGCACAACAGTGTTTGCAGCCGCTTGGTGATGAAAAAATTATCAATATGATATCCACACTGGCCGTTTCTATGCATCAGGTGTATAATGAGATATTTTGTATTATCACATCTCCTTAGTTGCAATAATTCCAAAAATCATTGAAATTCAGAGAATTGTAAGATCTTGTAAATGACTAACATTAACTACCAAATTGTCTAATATCTTCTTCTACCTGGCCATTTCCCGGCTATAGCCAGGGTCTGCCTTACATGTTGTGAATTGTTTTGACTTATTGTTTTTACGACCGGCCGCCTGCCTGACATCAATCCTCTTTTGGGAATACCAAACTATCTAATATATTAACAGTCAATCAATATATAGGACGTGGATGTGATGACTGAGCGATTGTTTGAAGAGATGAGGCGTCATTTCTATTCTACACCTAGCAGCTACCTCGATCTCCTTAAGCTGTACCTGTCTTTATTAGATAAGAAGCAGCAAGAAATTATACGGGGAAGGGATAGAATTTCCTGTGGATTACAGGTCAGACTTTTTAATACTCAAGTTATTAGGAAATATTGCTGATGTATTAGTGTGTTAGCTATTTTTAAAGACATTGATGATTTGTTTTAATCATTATCTTTTTCTATACAGAAATTGTACGAAACCTACGAAGTTGTTGGTGTTATGGAGCAGCAAGTGCGTGAAATGGAACCTATCCTTGCTAAAAAAGCAGAGGAGGTGAAATTATAATAACTTTATATATGTACAAATGCTAATTAATTAATCTATCCTAGCCAAAATATCGTGTTTGTGTTGAAATTAGTAAATAATTTTACCTGAATCAAATTCCGCTTTATAATTTTCAAAACTGTAGGGCATGGCACTGGTTGCTCGGCTTAAAGTTGAACAGAAGGCCGCTGACGAAGTCAAGCAAGCTGTGATGAAGGATGAAGCTGAGGCTAAAGTAAGTAGATTATTTCGTCTATAATATTACCTTCAATGCTTAGGCCTCGGCCTCGAATTTTGCGGGCAGCGGAGCGGCAGCGGGAGCGGCAGGATCTTACACGTATAATCAAATGGACCGACCCTCGAATACAGCGGTGCCCGCTGCCCGCTAGTTTGGAGAACAGTATGCGTTTCCGTGCCGCCGCCGCCGCCTCTCCGCTGCCCGCAAAATTCGAGGCCGAGGCCTTACGGTAAGTTAATTACAAAATAGTATACATATAAGATAATCTAAAGAAATATTATCACCATTTAAAAAAGGCACGCAAAGAAAATTAATCATGGAAAATCATTATTGTAGATAAAAGCAGAAGAAGTAAAGAAAATAGCTGACGAGGCGAAGGCGGACTTAGCGTTGGCAATGCCAGCGATGGAGGCGGCACAGAACGCTTTGAAGGCACTTAACAAGGCAGATATTAATGAATTGAAAGCTTTCCAGAAGCCACCGGCTCTAGTGCGCTTTGTAATGGAACCGGTCTGCATTCTTCTCGGTGCAAAGTATGTCAAAATATTTTTTTTATACTTATTACATTAATATATACCGGATTGGTTATTAATCAAAATATAATAATTATTGTAGATGATGTTTAAATTTTACGTAGAAGAAATTAGATTGAAAATCTAAATACCATATTTTTTTCCAATTTCAGACCAGACTGGGATTCCACAAAAAAACTACTGGCTGACGTCAACTTTATTCGTAATTTAGAAGAGTACGACAAAGATCATATTCCAGATGCATTGCTAAAGAAAATTAAAACTTATTTGACACATAAGGACTTCAATCCTGATACAGTGGTCAAAGTCTCCAAGGTAAATAGTAATATCAAATATTCGTATTTATTAGTTCTTCTATTTTAGAATATTTCTTTTTTAGGTTTGCCGCTCTATGGTACTATGGGTTCAAGCTATTGACATGTATGCAAAAGTTTTTAGGGTTGTAGAACCGAAGATTCTCAAGTAAGCACCATTTTTTATATTCAATAGGAAATAAGTTGTACGTACGAAGGTTTTCCGTATCAATTAATAGCCCTGCAACTAAATAAATACCTTAATAATTTTACAGACATAAAGAAGCAGCTGCTATATTAAAAAGTGTGATGGCTGTACTGAGAGCAAAACAGAAAGAGGTTGAAGCCATCGAAGCTATGTTAGCGAAAATGATGGACGAGTTAAAGGTATTTACTGTTATCTTTTAGTTCATAAAGCAATGTCCATTTTTGAAAAACATATACAACATAATTGGTAATAATATTGTTACTTCATTTTAATACAATCTTCAATAGATAATTGCGCATCTGGACAAGGAACTATACTTGAAACTTAGAGCGCTTAGACTAAAAAATTAACAGCTTATAATAATTATAATAACATATAAATATTAAGTGATATGTTCTTCCAGGTTGTAGAGGAGGAACGTATCAAATTACAAGCAGATGTTGATTTAGCGTCCGCGAGGTTGTCTCGAGCTGGGAAACTAACGCAAGCACTCGCTGACGAGAAAACTCGGTGGGAAGAAGGTGTCAAGGTTTGTAAATTTGTATACATTTATTCTATAGTGTCATTATAATTATTATATTTCTAAACGGAATTAAAATAAGGTTTTATCTTCACAAATATCATCAATCATATCTTATTTACTGGATGATTTGATTAGAAGTTATCACTAGTCAAAATCTAGTTGTCTTTTAAAACCTATCAGTGTAACAGTCAACCCCATAATTAAAATCTATTTCCAGGCAGCAACCTTTAAACTTCACTGTACCACGGGCGATATAATTATAGCGTCGGGCTGTATCGCTTACTTCGGAGCCTTTCCTTCGAATTACAGAAGAGAACTAGAGAATAAATGGGTCGACCAGTGTCGGGAATTGGAGATACCGTCTTCAGAGTCGTTTGAGTAAGAGAATAGTATAGTATAACTTATTTTTCTGAGTTTGCGGTTCTTATTACTTAATTATGAACGATAATATGGTTTTTCAGCCTGATATCAATAATGGCGGATTCTTACACGGTGCGTACATGGAACGCTCAAGGGTTGCCTCGAGACTCAATATCCACTGAGAATGGTATATTAGTGACACGCGCAGGAAGATGGCCGCTCACTATCGATCCTCAAGAACAGGTCACTTTGCTTTGATTAATAAATGATTTTTGATAAAAATCGAATCGACTATGAAATTTTGTAATAGCGAGAGGGTACTAAGAATTTATTGATACTCGTTTTATATTCTACAAAAAAATTACTACGTGTATAATAACAACAGCAAACTGTTCAAGAGTAAATAACTCAATATGAAGATATTTATCGAAAAATTATTTTAATTTTATTGTTATTTCAGGCAAACAGATGGATAAAGAACATGGAGCGTAGTAACGGCTTACAGATTACGAAGTTAAACGATGTTGCATACTTGAGGATGCTGGAAAACTGTATACGTCTAGGTTGGCCCATGCTCATAGAGGATCTCGGGGAGTCCTTGGAAGCTACGCTATCTCCTGTTTTGCTCAAACAAACTTTCATGCAGGTATAAAAACTTTTAATTTATTGTAATTCTGTTTTTATTACAGCTCCTGAACAATGATTAGTATTTAGTATTTAGCAAAAAAGTAATTAAAATGTTAGTGTAATTGTATTTTACATATTTTGTCCGTGTGTAGGCCGGTCGTCTTCTTATTCATCTTGGTGATAGTGACATCGAATATGACACGAATTTCCGTCTCTACCTTACAACCAAACTCGCAAATCCACATTACTTACCAGAAATCTGCATACAAGTGACCCTTGTCAACTTCACTGTGACACTTTCGGGTTTGGAAGACCAATTGCTGGCGTAAGTTTAAATATTTTATTGAATTATATTATCTTATATATTATTAGTTATGTATAATTTCGTGTATATAATCAATCTGTTTAGAGATGTGGTGCGTTTGGAACGACCTGATTTAGAATTGCAGCGATCAGAGTTGATAGTACGAATTAATGCTGATAAAGCATCGTTGTTGGAAATAGAGGATAAGATCTTACGGTTGCTATACGCGTCTTCTGGAAATATCCTTGATGACGAGGAACTTATTGAAACTCTGAACGAGAGTAAGGTGAGATAATAACATTATTATATCCTTCGAACACTAGAAAGCAATACCAATTGCCAAACTACGTAATTAGAAACCGACAAATTACAAAAAAAAATTAAGATGTACGTATATTCTTGTTGGAGGTGTAGTTCAAAGTAAGTATTATTTATTTTTTAATTAAAAAATATATCTGTGATACAGGAAACATCAGAGATAATAAACGCTCGGTTGGAGGAGACTGAAGCGACGGAGGTGAGTATATCAGCTGCGAGGGAGAAGTACCGCACTGTGGCGACACGTGGTGCTGTTTTATACTTCGCGGTCGCTCAACTGGCTGACATAGATCCCATGTACCAGTTCTCGCTCAAGTATTTCAACCAGGTACTTAAAAATGCTATAAATATATAAACACATCTTAATATTGTTATTGAAAATGTTTTGAGTATCACCCTTTTGCTCGATACACATTTTTTTTTATTGTAGGTTTTCAACTTGGTTATAGAGAAGAGTGAAAAAAGCGATGTACTGGAGACCCGTCTCGAGATATTGCTCCGTGAGATTACACTATCCGTATACCGCAATGTGTCGCGAGGTCTTTTTGAACGACACAAGCTGGTTTTCAGTTTCTTATTGAACATGGCTGTATACCTACACGCCGGTTTAGTCAGACACGACCAATGTGACTTCATACTCAGAGGACCTGCTGGCACTAAAGTGGTTAGTTATTCATTTAAAATATAATAATAGTTTTAGTCAATTCCAGACTTACTAAAAATCCAAAAACACAATACGTTGTAGCTTACACAACTAGATACTTGTGTGTTCTAGAACCGCTTTATTTTATATTTATTATAAATGATTGCTGTTGGAGTAAACGAAATAAACAGTGTCATAACTATTATAATAAAATATTTTTTGTAGGTGCCACCAAAGAAACCTCCGGTGGAAACTCTAACGGAACAGATGTGGTTGGCCGTGAATCACTTACAAGAAACTGATCCAAGCTTCGAGAACTTCGTGAAGGACTGTCAGCGACGAATACAAATAAAGCTTGGCACATTTTCGCTGGTACATGAAAATACAGTTATCATATACGTACACATTTTTATCATTTGATCCCTCACAACATTTCTACATTATAGGAGATTCACGTTAACAAAAACGATAAAAACCCAGCAGTAGTGAACTGGGACGAACATCTGAATTCTTTTGAGAAATTAATGTTAATAAAGTCTATAAAAGAAGAGAAGCTTGTGTTCGCTATAGCTCAGTACGTGAGCACGAGTCTCGGCTCCGTATTCATAGAGAGTCCTACTGTTCAATTGAATACCCTGTAAGTTTACTTTAAAGAAGCAAATAGTTGACACGTACACCTATTTGTAATGAAATTAAAGCTAGTTTAATTTAGATAAACTTACTAAGCACGTTATTTTGTAGCGAAAATAAAAAAAAAAACATGAGAACCATTTTAATATAATTTATATTTTTGTTTATGTAAAATTTGTGAGTGTTGCACTTGTACTATAAAGAAGCACGTTTCGAATTTAGAACTTAACATCCTTCAAAGGAATTCGTTTCTCACCTTTCATCATATTTTAAGATACGTAGTTCATAGGTTGCACGATTGAGGTACAGTATTTTGTATATCTTATATTACTGAAAGTAATATTAATAAATTTTTAACCGTAAATTATGTTGCACACACTTTCACGTCGGATATCTACTTTCTAGAGTAGGATTTATCGTCGTCGTCTTTGTCCGCATTAATTTCCTCATTAGTAATATAGGTATAGCTGACCGGACGAATTCTATTCCGTCTTAAATAATCAGGTATTGGTATTTATTAAATTTTTCCTGTTTCAATCGAACAGAATGATTGACATATTAGTTAGTTTTCAAATCTAATGTCAAAAAAACGTTTGTATAGGAAATATAAAAGGGCTGTTTTTAAGGTTTTCCCGGAAATGAATATTTTTTTCAGCTATTAAACCTTCCCTGAACCTCCACGAACATTTCAAGACTAAGATAAGATAAATCCTTTTAGCCGTTCTCTAGTTTTAGTGAGACTAAAGAACAGATTCATTTATATATATATATAGATTTCTTACAAATATCAAATTGTCATCCATAGGTCATTACATATCTGTCATTATACGTCAATTACATAGCTGTAATTTGCGTTTTGTTATTCCAAGTCTGATTCTTTTTTGTTATACCACGTTTTATATGTAGTGACTGACGTTTCATGTCAAGTCACACTTGAATGCTGTCAAACGGGATAAAAAATATCCCGTTCGACAGCATGTCCTTTGTCCTATGTCCTTCTCCTGGCTCTAAATTACCTCCCTGCCAATTTTCAGCGAAATCAGTTCAGGCGTTCTTGAGTTATAAGTGAAGTAACTAACACGACCTTCTTTTATATATATATAGATGATTTTTTTAACACATAATGCCAGCTTCTTTTTAGTAGGCATTTAAATAAATAAACTTAGACATTTCTTCATAAAAATATTTGTCTTGTATTTTTTAACGATGTTTTTATAAAATTGAAAGCTCACATATAATGTCCAATATAGTATTATAGATTTTTTTGTACTTGAATATACGTCTAATATTAAACTGATTATAGTTGATTACTAGAAGCATATAAGACTTAAAGACCGGTCAATTTAGACATTCGAAGTTACCTAAATTCAAGATTGTTTCAAATATCATTAAAAATAACATTTTAAATTTCCCCTTTAAGGAAAATATTTTAATCAAGGTCAAAGGAGAAAAAAATGAGTTTTTCGCGATTTTTATCATAAAAATACCTCGGACAAAAATTGTAGATCATAGAATCAGTTCACAAAAATGCCGTAATTTTGATTTCGTATCACAATATTTTACAGACTACACACCTACTTAACTTAAGAAGTAGCGAGAGCTATCAGTACTCTATGACGTTATTCAGTCAATCAATACCTAGCAAAAAAAAAGAATTTTCTCTATGTTATATCAAATAGTTTTATTATTTTATTTTATATTTATTTTCAATAACAATCAGTATTACTTGGATGATACCAAAGAACACAAAACTTTCTTCATTCTTTCTTCTTGTACTACATGAAAAGGAATTTCCAACATTACGTATAGACGTCCTGTCATTATCACCATCCAAACCTGATCACTCATTATGACCACTTCGAAGGAAGGGTTAAAAAAAAGAGACTTGCAAGTAACAGAATACTGCTTATAGATTCAATAAATAATGATAACGAATAAATAATATTATCATTTCATATATTTTATATAGAAAGCTTTGGTTTGGAATATAAAAATCGATATTCCGATATTTTTTAAGGGTTGCGCTAATTAAGATGCCTTGAATGCATCGGTGTTTTTAAGCAAAGCTTAAAGTTATTTATAGTTAGATAATTCGCAAAATTTTATAAATAATTCGAAAAGAGCTTTTCTATATTGTGTTTTCGCTTATTTTATATTCGCTTGTTAAAAAGTCGCTGAGCATTTTTTTATATTTTGAGTCGTAAATAGGGATTAAATAAGATCAATCACAACACCAATTTTATTTAATTAAACTACATACATCAATAGTTTAAAATACATTCAATAAGTTAAAATACGGACATCAATAAGTTAAAATTCGAACATCAATAAGTTAAAACACGGACATCAATAAGTTAAAATTCGAACATCAATAAGTTAAAATTCGAACATCAATAAGTTAAAATACGAACATCAATAAGTTAAAATACGACCATCAATAAGTTAAAATACAAACATCAATAAGTTAAAATACGGACATCGATAGTTTAAAACACGTAGGTCCATTATTTTAAAATCGTACATACCTAATTACCCTAATTTAGTTTTATAAATTGACACAAAGATAGGTATATATCAAGACGGAGCATTATTGAAGTTATTCAAGTGATAGACACTACTAATTTTATTAATATCGTCATTCAACTCTACTAACATTTAATCTAATTATTTATATTAATTTAAAGAAAATTGTGTATCATCTAATCATCCTTATCCTAGCCTCGCAGTACAACTAAGTGAGAAAACCTATACAACCAGGACTTTCCCAAAAAATACAATTCTTTAGAAATAATTCCACAGGTGCTAATTTAAATTTAAGAAATATTACAAAGCAGTCAATAATTATCAATAAAACATGTTTAATTTCCTGAAAAGAAAAGGTTGGCCGAAATGTCTAAAGTACATTTTATGAACCAGGCTAAAGATGTAGATGTCAAGTTAGCCCAATCCTAGAGAACAATACAAAACTTTGGTCGAACTCGCTGAACGGGGAGGGCAATCAAACGATATTCAAGCGTAGCAATAAACCATAAACTAAAATATTTAATATTTCGCATTGGTAACAGTATCCCAGACGTTTCAAGAAATACGTCGGGATACCGTTTTGCTATTCATGCAATATGAGTGGGATCCCATGAATACTTCTTGTTCTTAACAGACAGAGCATCGAGGGATAGCATCTCCCGTTCTGTTAGTTTTAAGTTGGTCGAAATGTTCTCTTCCATATGCTCTGGTTTGATAGATTTGGGAATCACAGCAACTCCGCGCTGCAGGGCCCAAGCTAGCAGAACTTGGCAACGAGTAGCATCATGTTTGTTAGCAATCTTCTTGACGACCGGATCCTCCATTAGATCATTGTTCCTCAACGACAGTCCGCCAAACGAGTTATAAGCTTGAACTAATATGTTATTTTGAAGGCAATATTGCATCATCTCGGTATCCACATAGTACGGATGGTATTCAATCTGAAAATTATTTTTTTATTATATTCACGAAAAAATAAAAAAAATAAAAATCGTAAATAAATATGCTTTACCTGGTTGACCATAGGTCCAAGAGCCATTACATCAGTCAATTCACGGAGGTGCTTCAGAGTGAAGTTGGATACACCAACTGCATTGACCTTACCTTCATCGTACAACTTAACAATCGCAAGCCATGTTTCTTCGCGCCTCTTTTTATTTAAAGCGCCCTTTGGATTTTGTTTCGCATATCCCGGGAAATGTATTAAGTACATATCCAGGTAATCTAATCCCAGATTAGTAAGCGATCGATTAAAAGCCCGCCTAACGGACTTGTTAGTGATAGATGGCGCTGCAAGAAGTAAATTTGTTACCATTTAAGGCTTTTTATCGTAATATAAAATATAATTTATATAAATTTTCTATAAAATTCTTACACAACTTAGTGGTTATAAAAACATCTTCTCTTTTAAGATTATGTGCCGGAAGTAGCTCTCGTAGGGCTCTTCCTATCTGTTCTTCATTGCCATAAATAGAGGCAGTATCTGTAGATAAATTTAAATTTTTATAAAAGTGGCACAAGAGGAAAATATAAAAGCATAGCAGAACCTAAATTATTGAACAAACCAAAAAGCCTGTAGCCGCGAGCCAGTGCATTGTTCATTGTCTCATACAAAATATCGTAGTTGTTGATACGATAGGTGCCCACTGAAACAATAATATATTAAATTTGAAAACCGAAAAAAAAAGTTAATAATTATCAAAATGACCTTTTCAAATCAACTAAATGATATAAAATTTAAATCAATTATAAAAATTTAATTTTTAAATACTCACATCCAATCGCAGGTAACTTAATTCCATCTCTTAACGTAAATAATTTATCACGATAATTGTGATCCTCCGTCATCTTAAATATTTCTTCACTGAAAACACCAGAATCTAAAAAAAAATACTTTCAACTGGCTTGCAAACACTTTACTTATTCACAAAACCACCTGTATAGTATATTTATAGAGAGCCTTGTTGTACCAACCTACCCTTGGCTGGTGCAACGAGACAACTGACAAGTAGCTCGGATTTTGATATCAAATTGAATCGGTGGAGGCAAAATGTGGATGTAGGGAGACCTTTTGGGAGGTAGCAACTCTCACCTCTAAACCACCCGCGTTGCATAGAGCATTTATGCACTATACAATATTTTAAAAATTAAATACCTACTTTACTACTAATAAATCTATAATAATATATGTAGATATATTTTTATTATAGATCCACCTAATCATGAAAACATCATAAGGATTTTTTTCGTAACCGATATTGATGTGAAATATCTTGTAAAGTTAGAATAAATATTTATATCGAAGAATAGAATTGAAAGTGTACATAAATAATGTCTTCGTTTAATCTTTTTATTTAACTGCTGAATTTTAAATAACTAATTGTAACTAAACATATGCCTTTATATAACTTCTACTTCTAAGCCCTTAATTCGTACTACTTATACTTCTATTCTTATTTTAAACAGAATACAAAAAAGGAACGAAGATGAATTGTTACCTTTTATTTTGTTTCAAAATGTATAATCATGTCTCTAACAGTAGTAAATAACAACATTAGGTTTCCGTTCCGTTTACGTAATTACGTTTTCCGTTTCTTGAAAGTTGTTTGTTAAGCTTAGTGAGAAAATAAAAGAAGACACCACGTTTCAATAATATTACATTTATGACCTGCATAAATTTCCGATATGTACTTATAATTTTTTAGATACGCTGACACAACTTGTTCTATACCTTTGGTATTCGTGCTAAGTACGGGATCGGATCCATTTGGTGCGTTCCAAAAATTTGCTACTGAAATGGGAATGAGAGATAGAGTTCACTCGATATCACTCGGTCAGGGCCAAGGACCGGTTGCAGAGAAAATGATAAACGCTGCCAAACCCAAAGGAGATTGGGTATTTTTGCAGGTATCATACTATACACATAGACCACGTAACCATTTTTAAATTGGAAAAATGTTTTCATATTATAATTTTGTTATTAGAATTGTCATCTAGCAGCTTCCTGGATGTTGAGTCTTGAACTAATAGTTGCTAATATGGGCAGCGATCAAAGTGGCTTGCATCCAGATTTTCGACTCTTTCTCAGTTCAATGCCTACACCGAAATTTCCTGTTTCCGTGTTACAAAATTCAGTGAAAGTTACTAACGAGCCTCCCAAAGGTCTAAAAGCGAACGTGAAAAGAGCGCTGATAGAAATGGAAGACGACTTTTTTGAAAATCACGGTATGTACGTGTTTTCTTCTTGTGTTATTCTTTCCTCACCAACAATTAATTTAAACATTATTTCATAGTTTTGGGACAAGATTGGCGAACGATGCTATTCGGTATATGCATGTTTCATGCTATTATTCAAGAAAGAAAGAAGTTCGGTCCACTTGGTTGGAATATCACATACGAGTTTAATAATAGCGACCGGGAATGTGCTTTACTGAATTTGCAAATGTTCTGTGAGGCTGGTCATATACCATGGGATGCTTTGGAGTATATTACGAGTAAGTAACTCTTAGTAAATTCCATTCGTGTCCGTTAAAGCTATGAATTCGTTTGAAATATGAAATAACATTTTCGTATAATAATATAGGTCAGATTACATACGGTGGTCGAGTCACTGACATGTGGGATCAGAGATGTCTAACAACCATTCTCGAGCTATTCTTCTCGCCCCCTACTTTGGAAGACGACTACACTTATTCACCTTCCCGTATATATTACTGTCCTAGACTTGAAAAGTTACAGGACGTTCGTGATTATATCGATACATTACCAGTGATAGAAGATCCCGAAATTTTTGGTATGCATGAGAATGCCAATATCGCCTACGAGGTAAGTGCCTATACTGGAGTTATATGCGATCTCCGTAAAACGAAATTAATATAAAAATTTTACAGAATAAAGAAACTAGTACGCTCATTCGGACGATAGTAGATGTTCAACCTCGTACAGGAGGTGGAGGTGGTGGGGATACACCAGATCAGATCGTATGGCGTATTTGTGATCAGACGAGAGCAGTTGTCGTTAGAAAGGTGGACAGAAACCTCATCAACCCCGAGCTCATGATACCAGATGACATGGGACAATTACACTCGCTCTCAACCGTCCTATTACACGAGACTGACAGATTCAACACTCTACTAGCACTCATCCATTCATCACTTACTGAACTGCAAAAAGCTATTAAGGTTTGTATTAAACGTTATTTACAAAATTATCTAACTCATAATATATGTATATCTTCTATTATATAGATAATAAGTTAATCACATAATAATAACTATTTTTTAAAGTATTCTAAATTAATATTAGGCTTTACAGTTTGAATCTAGTCTATGTAGGCTCCCTAGGTCCGTTATTGGATCCACTCACCCCCCCTGGGTGGTTGCGCAATAAACGCATATTAAGCTTCCTGTGCCCTCTCCATGAAATATAATAAAATCATAGGTACATTAATTACATTTCCCGGTAAAAATTTATCTCTATTTTTTCAAACTTTGTAATGATAATTAAAATTGACGAAATCAAATGCAAATGTTCATACTACGGTTAGGATTAGAATGGATTCCCGCGCTTTCTTCTCTTTGCGGAAAGTTCTAGAATTGTATTCTTTGTTTAAAATTGCTTTTTCCTTCAATACCATCTGAATAGTATGTAAGAAATATTTTTTATACAATGTTTTATAAATTTTACAACTATATGTATATGATGGACATAACACGGTACTAAAACAATGTGCCTACATTTTTTATTTTTTAAATAATGTTCGTCACTTTTTGTTTTCTCATTATCTCAACAGTACATTAATTGCACAACAAAAATCGTGCCGAATGTAAAATAAAAAATCTCATATGAACAAAGAAAACTAATAAAAACAAAATATAGGATGCATCCTGTCCTTGCAACGATCGATGGAGCTAGTCCTGATGTGCCACGTGGACCGACTTAATGCGCATGCGCGCCGCCATGTGTACTAATATATTATATGACCTAAAATGTATATGCAATTCTAGGAATCATCTCGAACGTTCCTGGGGCCTGGATATGAATATTGATTTTATCAGAGCTATTACGCAAGCAAATATCATACATACGTAGCTATGTTTATGATTTTATCTACATGTATTATATTTACTTGTGACTATAAGGGCGGGTCCGTCGTTTTATGAGGCTTTCTTTGTTTTACAACTGCGTTACTATGTTCTGCGAGTGATTTGTACCTTATTACTAAGCAACAACACTAATTGTAACAAATTAGAGGTTTAATTTCCTAACCCATGAATCTCACGATGACTGCAGTTTACTCCAAATTAAAAACTTTAAAACCTTCTAAGCTTCCTGCTGCATAAAATAGTGAACTATTATATGACTTTGGTTTTTTATGTATCTTAGTATCTATTTGTGTTTTTTTGTTAATTTTAAACTCTCAAAACTTTGATAGACTTTATTAATTATTTATTATCGCAAAAAAAATTATTTCTATAATGAGATCTAAGATTTTCGCGAGTTTTATTCATTGAAATAAAACTAATATATTTTTTTTTACAAAAATAAAGTCGCGTTATAGTATATTCCGAAAAATATTAGTTTCATTTAAATGAATTTACTTTCTAGCCAAATAAATTAAATGACATTCATTTATTTAAGATAATATATATAAATCTATAATAGTAAAAAATAATTATCCTTCAGTGTATTCATCAATTTGTTGAAAGATAATAATAACACTGCGTTACAAATGTAAAAAAATTGAGTACCCGCTTTGAAATGTCATGTTTTCTTATGAATACTTATAGTTTATTAAAAATACGTACAAAATTTCCATTCATCACGTCTCATTTTTCTTCCATTAGAATGTGCCAAATTCTACTAAAAATTTAAATGCTTAAACATATTTTAAAGAAAATTAATGAAATCAATCAGGTTTTATCACATTAACTAAGTTTAATTTTAACATTAATTAAAAAAAAAACATAAAAAGTTTTAACACAAAAGATTGCAAAACTTTAACTTTTTCTTAAAGAAGAAATTATTCCTTTATTAAAAGAAGCTATTTCTCTACTAAACCACCTGTTGCACATCACGCTATTTTAATATATAGGTGTACTAGAAGACCCGGCGAACTTCGTATCGCCCTATAATCAAGAAATATCTGTTACGTTTTTTTATTTATATTTTTGGAGTTTTCTTATAAAAGCCATTAATCTCCCTGTTTTGAAGTACGACAGAATGATTGACATATTAGTTAGTTGTCAAATCTAATGTCAAAAAAAACGTTTGTATCAACAACTACTAATAAATTAAAAATTAATTAAAAAAAACATTGTCAAGCGGACAAAATTGTGATTCTAAACCATTCCCAGATCCCCTTGAACACACACAAAAGATTTCATAAAAATCGGACCAGTCGTTTGAGAGAAGTTCAGTGACACACACTCACAGAAGAATTATATATTATATAAAGATACATATTTTATATTATCATGTATTAATGTTAATCAGATTATAATAAATTTATGTGTATAGAAAAATAAACATCATTCTATAATATTGTTTATCGCTGAAAATAGAATTTATTTTAGTTACATCTACTCACATACAGATGACGTTGTTCCAATTTTAATATAAGAAACTTCTAGAATTTTTTGAATTCCAAAATAAAACGCTGAAATTCATACATATAATTATATAATAATTCGTAATTTATCCAACTTAAATACATAGCGGAACAATTTACTACTTTCAGTAATAATATTGGCAAATAAATGTGGCCTTATAAATTACAATTATTACTATATAATATAGACTCATACAGTCTAGCTTAACAAAAGTTGACAAATTGGGTTTAAAAAAAACTTCTTCATCTTGATGAAAATAATGAATTTAGAGATATTACTTTCAAATATATTAGCAGTTCAAGTCCACTTGCCGCTAGATGGCGGTGTATACCTCATTTTGAGAACCGAATATTCTGGAACTTTCTTACGATTATCATAGAAATTGTTTATTGTTATTACGTATTCCTTATTTTGACCAAAGTTAATCATATAAAATATGGTTGTCGCCAAAGAAATTGTGTTTTTTAAATATATATATATGTTTTATGTATTATAAACAAATATTTTTCTTTGTTGTCTTAGGGCGTGGTCGTGATGTCAGAAGCATACGAAGAAGTATTCAATTCATTCCTCAATAATAAGGTACCAGAGATGTGGCATCGCAAAGGATACAATTCTCTTAAGTCGTTGGGCAGCTGGATACATGACCTCACACTGCGGATCGACTTTATAGAGGTTTCGATACTAAATTAATTTCCAATTATACGCAATAAATTATATTTGGTAACATTAAAGGTTCATGGAAATCTGGGAGGCGATGGGTGGTGGGTGATGGGTGGTGGGTGGTGGGTGATGGGTGATGGGTGGTGGGTGGTGGGTGGCGGCCTTTCAGATACATAATATTTTGCAGCGTTTGCCACATCCACCCTGAATTTCTAGGAATCCTGGGATCGAGAGCTGGCTGTATTGATTTACTGCACTCCCCGCCAGCCATCACCCGTTGCCCATGACAACTGCAGTACATGAACCTCCCTATAGAAAATTCTAGATGCTGTAAACTAAAAATTATATTTTATTATAATAAAGAATTATACATACTGATTTCTATATTCAGGCCTTAAAAATCTGAGAATTATGGTTGAGACATAAAAGACCCTTGAAGATATTCTCTAGTAACATAGCTTTACTTACTTACATAATAAAATTAGGTATTGTGTAATACATTTTTATTGGACATTTAAATCTGTTCTATTCTCCATAATTTCTTCCTTAAACACACAAAAAATCAATCATACCGAATGTCGTAATATAATAAAGTGTTTCTATAGCGATGGTTGATTGACGGCGGCGCTCCAAGTAGCTGGGTGTCGGGTCTTTTCTTCCCTCAAGGCTTGTTGACGGGTTCTCTTCAGGCGTACGCGAGACGATACAGGGTGCCCATAGATGCACTCATGTTCGATTTCATACCAACACAGATATTTCTATCCCAAGAGGATGTTTACAAACAGAATAAGAAGAAGGCCAAAGTAATTATTATGAAATTAATTCTTACATTTATATCTTATAATTAAATTAGATCTGTCCAAAAAATATATATTGAAGTCATTAAAGTACGATAATGCCTTTGTGTTAACGAAGTTCATATCGCCAATGCCAAACAAGATCAAATTAAATGTTTTTGTTAACGTTAGGATGATGAGACGAATGTTTACGGTTCGTTGGAGAAGCCTGAAGACGGTGTGAACATTCACGGACTATTCATAGACGCTGGTCGATGGGACGTAACTCACGACTGTCTCTCAGACGCTTTGCCAGGTACAGTATTATTAGTCCAAGAGCCCGCGCCCGCGAGGCCTTCGTTAATTTATAAAAGCTGAAAGTTTTTCTATAGATGTACCCAATACAGGTTGTCACGATCCTCACTTATGAAACTTGGGTCGCGGTGGCTTTGGCTTTCAAATTCCTCATAGGATAAAACTCAGTTTTGATATATTTTCAATTTTCATCATAATAATCTTAGAAATCACGCTGTCCATTGCCAGGTACTTAGTACGGTACGGTACAATTTTATACACCTTTAGAACCTGTTACCTGCCAAAAACTTTCAGCTTTTATAAATTAACGAAGGCCTGGCGAGCGCTGGCTCTTGCTCTATATTATTATACACACATGTACATGCCTATTTATACACACACATGTATATACTATACACTAAAGTACACTACACATACGTAGGTGTATATGAAATAATATTATCAACTCACTCAACTCACTACTACGTACAAGGCTTTAAATTTCAAATATATCCCACATCAACAGAAATGATATTATGTCAAAGGAATTATTTAAAAAAGATATATATTTTTTTTTTCGTCTGCGATTAACACACATATATACGAGTATAATATATTATATAATGTTTCGATAAATATATCCACTGACCAGATTTGGACCGCTACTTCGGCTGTGTGAACATCAGGGTTGCGCTAAAAGAAAAATGCATAGTGTCTTAAAACAATATGTATAGTAACCTAAGCTGTAGCCTTTTAATTTTAAATAACCTAGCTACGGACTGCAACACCATCTGCCGGACTGATTTGCGAATCTTGACCATCTGGGGTTCTATCCAGGGGCGGATCTACCTAAAGGCTTTTTGGGTTGCAGCCCAGGGCCCCGCGAATACATGGGGCCCCCAAACGAACCGAAACCAAAATACGATATTGTCAATAATAAAAATTATCTACTATCTAGAATTAAATAATCCGATGGTAAGGTTGGCAACATTACAATCAATCAACCCCATATACGCGACTGTCAAAAGGATCGGGGAATTCCCTGTCGTTTGTTTTCGGTTAGTGTATTCCGTGTATTGTCTTTTACGGGGACTTCAAGATTTTTTGTTATTTTTCACCGACTATTTTGACGAATTTACTTTTTTATTGTTAGAAATGTGTTAAGTGTGTTTAGTTTACTAAGTGACAATTAACTTAAAACTTATAAATATTATAAATTTTTAATGTATTTGCAAGAAAGAAATCTAGAACACATACACATACACTATTTTCCTATTTTCTTCCTGTACTTAACATATAACTACATCACTACAGAAAATAGTTTCTTGTCAAAATGGAAATTAGTTAAGTAATTAGTTAGGGCCCCTAAGCAGTATTAGCCGTGGGCCCCAGGGCCAGACATCTAAGATCCGCTCCTGGTTCTATCCAACATCATACAAAAAAAAACATTTAAATCAGTTCACCGGCTTAGAAGTTCCGGGACATATATTATGTACTTATATATAAAAAATATAAATGTATAAAATCATTGAGCATTTCTCAAAGGACGTTAAAATTGTCAGTGCCGATAATAATATCAATTCATTAAATCTATGTATCTTATAAAATAAAACAAATATTAATAGCACTTCTTGTACAATACTAAAATTGCATATAACATTTCTAAAATGAAATAATAACGATTGATCGTTCTGCTCGGAATATGCCCGCCGGCTTCCCGGACGCCATCTTGTTTCATCGTTGCTATTGACAACAAGGTGTGTGATTTGTAGGATCTGCAAACTAAACAAAACTGCGTTTTAATATTAATACTTTAATTAAATTTTTGTGTTTATACTTAATTAGTAATTCTAGAATGATGGTTAATATGTTTTCTTAAACTATTAAGTATTAACATTCCATTACTAGAGATACCTATATTCCATTCCATTACTAGAGATACATAGAGATACCTAAAAATTGTATATAGTATAGAAAGTTTCATGTTAGGAAGCAAATTTTATTGACAATTAGAAAAATAAGTCAAGAAAAATATATATAGGGTACTAATCCTGCACGGTATTCAGGAAATTTGTCAACTTTTATATCTCATTCATATGATTAAATTTAAATTCAATTGATCCACTTTTATAGATAGTTGTGTTTAAGATGTTGTTACTGTTGACAACTGGTGTGAACTCACCACCAGTGCTTTTGAAATATTATAAAGTATTCATTATCTTCCACTAATGAATTTTATTAGCGATGTCCACTGGACACCTTTTTTATATTATTACTAGTTTTTGCCCGCGACTTCGTCCGCGTTAGTTTCGTCATTAGTAATATATGTATGTATAGCTGACCGGGCGAACTCTATACCGTCTAAGAGGCCACAAATAATTAGGTTTTTCCTGTTTCAATCGAACAGAATGATTAATATATTAGTTAGTTGTCAAATCTAAAGTCAAAAAACGTTTGTATGGGAAATAGAAAAGGGCTGTTTTTAGGGTTTTCCCGGAAATGAATAAATTTTTTTCAGTTTTTAAATCTTCCTTGCACCTCCACGAACATTTCAAGACTAAGATAAGATAAATCCGTTCAGCCGTTATCGAGTTTTAGTGAGACTAACGAACAGCAATTCATTTTTATATATATATACATAAGTTTGAAACGGAAACTATAATATAAAGGAACTATGAAAAATAGTATCATAACATTAGAAAATTAGTAGAGTTAGCTATACCTACCTACAATAAAAACTGACAAACTATAGCAAAAAATATTTATTTTATAAGCAAGGGATAAATAATATATTTGTTAACGGTACAGAAGCTATAAATAGGTTTTCATCGACGGTAGTCATATTCCAAATAACTTATATACTACATATGTTTTGTATATAAAGTCAACCCGAACACACGTCCGTTTGATATACTCTGATGGAAAAACGTGGTAAGTGAAAAATTATCAAAAAAAACTTTTTGTTCAAGTGGCGGTTTGAAATGAAAATGGTCGTATGGTACTTAAATGAAGGTATTTAAAATTTTTGGTATTTACAAAAATAAAAATTAAATGATCAGATTTTTTTTACATTCCTTTTGGTCTCTTTTTTTTATTGGTGCATGGACTGAAGAAAAATATATAAGAATGATTTCTTTTCGTACATACATTGTATATAGATATGATAAGATTTATATATGTACATAGCTATTGATAGTCATAAGCATAACTCATAAAACTTGAAACAATGGTGCTCTACTTTCGATGGAAACAAGAATCATTATCCCGAAAACCTAATTTAAATGATATTTGTTTGAATTATTTATGAAAATTATTTAAAAAAACCGGTAGACAAGCCAAGATTTTTTTGAATTGGGACCACCTGCCAATTGTTTAAAGCCGCCTTTAACAAAGTACCTAGTTGATAACAACTCCTTGTAGGCGCTACAAGTCTAAAGGACGACGGCAAGAGACCCAAAAAAAAATAGAGGCGTTGTGTAGAGCCCTAAGGGATAATTTGTAATATCACTTAGTTTGGATAAGGTGGTTTTTCAGTAGATGAAGAAAATGGGGCGCTAAAAAAATAATTTATTCTCAAAGTAGACAGCAGGTTTATAGATTCATTCAACCTCAATGAATGATGAAGGACAGCTTGGTCTGGATGTTCTTAAGGATAATAGGAATTATTTGTTTACTAAGACAATTCCTAAGACTGGAAATAATATAATTTATAACATTAAGTAAAACCCTCTTACAAATGAAGTGAAAAATTATCGTTGTTTCAGACACGAAGATCACGTGGAATTGATTCTTTATAGCAATTATCTTCTTTGTTGAAGCTCGTTTTTTAGTTATGTTCTAACTACTGCCTGAACTACTTCTATATAATTTTGACATATGTATAATGAGTTATTCGTTCTTTTATTTCCCATTTATTAGATACTAGCTGCGCCCCGCGGTGTTACCCGCGGATTTCCGGGATTTTTGGGATGTAAAGTAAAGCCTTTATGTTATTCCTGAACGTCAGCTTCCTGTATACAAAATTTTATCAAAACGGTTCAGCCGTTTGAGCGTGAAGAAGTAACAAACATACACACACAAACTTTCGCAATTATAATATTAGTAGGATAAAGATTTTTGACTATTTAGTTTAGAATGACAAAATGGAAGCTTTTCATATGAATTTTACGACCTTTTGCAGGTCAAATGAACCCATCTCTGCCCGTGGTGTGGTTCAAGCCTGTTTTGTCGCTACCCAAACCCGACCCTCGTTACGAGGCGCCTCTCTATAAGACCTCTGAACGAGCCGGGGTTCTATCCACGACTGGCCACAGCACTAACTTCGTCCTGCCGGTTCTGTTACCAGCTGACCAGCCTTCCGAGTTCTGGATCATCCGAGGAACAGCGCTACTCACACAGATCACTGACTGAGATTTTGTTTGTTTAGAAGATGTTTATAATCTTGTAACTGTACTTTTTACTATTATTATCATTGTCAGTGTTTTTCTAGAAGTTTGGTTTGTTGTAATTGTTAATAGGAATAATTGTGATAAATTGGTATTATTATATTTTTATAAATCTAATTTTTCCACCACATTATTCAACTCCGTGTTCATTTTCCTAATAATTTTTATTTAACGATTTTTAACATAACAGAAGCGATAGAGGAGAAATCGCTAAAAATATCAAAGGACAAAGTTTAAAAATACCTTGTAATGTTCGAGTCTTTTGGATGTATTTTACGTTACATAAAATAACGTAGAATCATAATAAAAACGCCTTCTAATGCACAACATAAGCTATAATTGAATCAATTGGAAAAATTCTCGTTAGGATACAAGACCGCATAATAATTTTAATTCAAAATAATTATGCGATTATACTACAGAGTGACTGGTGAATTACTATCAATATTTAAGGAGAATCCTCGGTACACGATTCTCATTCGAATTATGTAAAAAAAATAGGTACTTAATTTTTGACCAAATTTCCGTATAAATAAATAAAGTGTAGACACGCTCCAAGTGTACCAAGTGTGGACGCGTGCGGCGGCGTGCTGATACAACACCACGCCGCCGCACGCTTGTGTGTGTGTATACCTAATCTGTAGGGTGTTCACACGATGCGTAATTAATTACATAACTTTTGGTTAACTTTACTTAGAAGTTTATTAATATTTATGTTATATTAATTTTTATTTTGTCATATATGATCGTCAAATATCACGTCCTCAAGTATCGATAGTAATTCACCAGTCACCCTGTATATGTAACTATCGTAGTTGCAGAAAATTTTAGTTTAACAAGTCTTTAACAGAAACCCAATTTTTCAAACTAAATATCCTATATGATAAAAATGTCATATTTTTAGAATTTAAATTAAGACAATTAATCTTTACTAATTTTATTTAACTAAAATGTGCCTGCTCTTAGATTTCTGTGATCTATTCTAATGTATCAATCGTAGCCAGTAAAAACCTCGTCTGACGAACCTCTTATTGATAATGAAACGTTTTTTGGGAAGGTCAAGTGAGACTCGTCAACCTTATTTCAAATCAATTTATTTAAACTGGTAAAATCTTTGTATTTCGAACAATATCAGAAAACAAACGTCACTATGGAAAAGAAATGTTATGATGATAGGCGAACCCTGTGCGGAGGGTGCGACTCCTCCGTATAAAAAAGATCTATACTAGACGACCAAAATAATTAGACTACTGTAATGTGACGTCATCAAGAAAAAGACCTAGCTGAAGAAAAATAAAACCATACAAGTAACCGGGCGCACATTGCATCCTGATCGTTACTTATAAAACACCTCTTTATATTAAAATTTTCAGTTTCTTATTGCTTTCATCATGTATTTAATAGTGTACATTTTTGTTTACTATTAAAATATATGTACAAAATATACATATTAAAATCCATTTCAATTATGTATTACATAACAACAACAACAAACACACATTTATTATCTTATATAAAAACAATTATACTTCACATTTGACTCGCATATAAGAGGTACTGAGACAAGTTTGGGGGGTGATGGGTTGACTTTAGTCTAATTATATTGGTCGGTCAACAAAGCACACGCTGGCAGTGTAGCGCGCCCCAGACAGACCTATATACAATTCACAATCATTACGCTTGAACGTGAATGAATATCACAGTACTTCCGTTTATCTGACATATTATATTATAATTACATGGATTGGTGTCAATTCTGTATTACAATTTAATCATTTTATCGCTATATTAAAAAAATAAAAAGACCTAGACCGGAGTTCTTTACCTACCTACATCTAGTTAGTGGCGCCCCCGAGCGAACCGTTCATACGACGGCTTTTATTAGGCTTATATGATTTTTTTAATAAAAATCAACTAACATAAAAGTACAATGAAAGTCGAGTTACTTAATAATAATTATTACAAAATACTTGGTTTTTACAGAGTCTATACATTGATTGATTAGAAATAAACATCAAGCGCATTAAGCGCACATTCACGCACATGGGCACTTTGTTATTATATTAATTATAGAAAAACGATAATTTTCTAAGAAAGAATCATTTTTAATAATTTAATTTTTTACAATAAACATATTATAACAAAATGTTTTATGAAACTTACACTTAAAGAACTCAATCATCATAGTCCCTTCAATGTAATAAGTGCAGCATACAAATAGAAAGCTATATGAAATCATCCAAAATGTATTGTAATCAAACACATTTAATTATGTCGAATCACAAAAATCTTTCTACTTGTATTAAATAAATGTAAGAGACAGGATATTAACACTCGTATTGTGCAATGATCACTTCAAAAGAATCCACGAACTACTTAACCTACTTATATAAACGATACCAAACGTCTGATATCCGATTACATTACTCCGTGAAAAAATGTGATACAAATTTAAGGATCGCGGGCGAATCTATCAATTACAAACACATCTAATAAGGAATACCATTCTAATTGACCGAACCCGTCACACGATCACTAGAGATGATCGCTTATCAATATTATCATTAACATCAAAATCACACACATCAGTAGTCACTCGGTCTACAATTATTATATAGAAACTTAACGGAATGAACAGCACGCGCTTCGTGTGGCGGCGGTGATTGCGGTGAGTACGTGGGGACCCGCGGCTGCCAGACGGCCCGGGCGTGTCTGAACCCCGGCGGGAGGGGAGGCAGCGTGGTCACGAGGCGGGGGGCGGGGGGCGCGGGGGCTGCCCCCCACCGCAAACCCTAGTCCTCCGACATAAACGAGTTCTGCGACTTGAGCTCCTCCAGCCGAGAGATCTGCTGCCGCAAGTACATTATTCTGAAAATAAAACAATTCAATAAATATATGTATAAATCTAACCACTTACATCCGTTTCACAGTCGCGTTATTATTCAATGTTAAATTTTAATTTACTTCGACTTATACATAAAGATTTAACTTGCGTTCTGGATTACAACATTAATTGTGTATCAGAAGAATTATTTTGCAGAGATAATTTATAATATTAAGTAAGTTTTTACATTATTTGTTAAAAAAAACTTATCTAAAAAAGGGACTAAATCTTCTTTTCATTTTGTCTATAAACAAATACCATCCGCTTTTTTGTTAGCTCATTATTATTATTTATCTTTTGTTATATAATATGTTAAAAAAAGGAAAAGCAAAGTGAAATTAAACGCACATATTTATTATTTACTCACAAATATTTATAAAAAAAATGGGAATCCAAAAAGGCATTATAAATCATCATATATTTGCAATATATTTGAGGTCGATTTATTGAAATGGAAGAAAACAAACAAAAATATATATTCTTAATACATACTTAACTGTTTTTACTTCTAATTATTTAGGTAGAAGACCATGATAAAAAATTTGTATTAGTATATTAATAATAACAAGACGAAAGGACAAGGAAGCAAAACTAAATTGTGAAAAAAATAGACTGGGACGTTATTTTGCTTACTTTTTTTTATTGATTAAATAAATCAAGGATTTGAAAAAACATTCTGCGCAGTCAGCAAAAAAGGAGACAGCTGTTATATTACAAGTAAAAAATATGCTTTCTTTAAAAAAATACAAGTGTGTCAGTTTATCCACAAAAATAATTTCGCCTGGTAATCATTATCTACCCACAACTACCCACAAACATCTTTCAAGATGTCTTCAAGTCTTAATATAATATTCTAAATACATACTTCTGTTCCTGCAACGTGGCTTGTATCTCTGTGTGTCGCACCACTGACCGAGAACACTTTAGTTCAGCCGACACTCGCGTACACTGAAGACAACCTAACTGATACGCCTCCTCTGTGAACTTGTACGCCTGAAAACAAAACATAATATCATCAAAACATGAATAGAACACTGTATATTGTTTTAATATATATTTCTTTTATAATTATCATTATGGTTATAGTGTTACCTGTTTCTCAAGTATGTCAGCAGGCCAACCTGTGACATGTCCCGTGAGATCGCTGCGTACATAATTTATTAGAGAAGGTGTGAGCATCGGCGGCGCGTGCTGTAACGAGCTCCCCACCACTGAAGAATAGCTACCTAGGCACTCCACTATAACATAACAGATTAAATGCTTTTATATAAATTAGTTCGCAACATAGTGACAAGTATTAATACATTAAGCGTGCATTATTTACATTTTATACAAACTTTTCGAAAGTTTTGCTTGTTACTGTAATCTCATTTATTTTACTACCAAATGTATTTCATGGGATTTGTATAGTTTTAAAAATTAGGCTCTTAAAGGTTTTTATAATTATCATGATGCTTACTTTTCCGAGGCAAGGCGTTCTCCAGATGTAGCGGCGGTGCGTGTGGGTCTATGTTCTCCGAGTGTGTGGGCGTGGGTGGTCCGGCGTCGCGGTGAGGAGTGTCCCCACCGCTGAGGGGCGAAGCGCCGTTGTTGCAGGGCGGAGGACCCACGCCAGCCGCCCCGCCGACACCTGCGCCACACCCCGACATCGCCACGTGGACCACACTCTGCATCGACGCCGTTCCCACGATGCGCGGTAACGCCGCCGCCAACAACGAACCGCTCTATTGATATTATTAATAAGAAACCTTTTTAGATGATATGAGACGAAACTTCTCAGCATTCCATGGATTCACCGTGCGGGTGCCGGGTCCATCGAATAATAAATCTTATATAATTCCGAAAACTAAATACTATAATTGCTTATTAAATAATTATTGAGCAAAATTGTCCATTTGTTTTGATTTGATTTTGGTAATTGTGTATATGCATATTTAGTACTAGATTATAATAACTGTAAATACATAAATATTAAATACATATATATCTTGAGTCTTATATTCTGACACTTTTGTAGTTTAAATTGTTATTGGCAAAACGGTTTATAAACGGTACATATTTCATAACTTTTCATTAGCCAAGTTGGAGGAATGAAATTAATAAGTATAAGTATGTCGAAGAGTTTATATAAAATGATAACAGAGGTATCATGTGTCATTACCGGTTGGTTGGAATTGTCGAGGACGACAACGGGAGGCACTCCGCCATCCCTCGGTGGTTCACGCGCTCCGTGAGAACTCTCCGACAGCGGCGTGCTGCGGTCCGGTGAGATATCCATATCCTGCAGCGACTGACCCTCTGGAATATGAGTACAATATTTTGTTCGTATCTTCAATGTATAACGTAATGAATGTCGCGTTCTTACATTATCATGTTATAATATATTCTTATAATACCTTTCCCGTCGTGTTGTGAGGAGGCGTGTTTCGTCCGTCCTCGTTCGTGTAGGTCATCCTCTCTGCTGCTCCAGTATCTCTCCGTCGTGCTGTTTGATCGCTTGTTTGTCTTCTCCGGCTCGCGACGCCCTGATCGTGAGCTGGATCTCTTCTCGCGATCTGTACATAAAGATATCTTGTAACTTTCTACAAATCAATCAATGGATTCTTAATGCTGGAAAATTTACGATGCATTGTTATTCTCACATTTACATAAGCATAATTATATTGTTTAGTACAAAATGTTGTCATCTTTTATTCCTAAGAGTTGATTAGTTATTTAATATTTGTTTACTATCAGTAGCTCGAGAAATTTCTACAAAAAAGAGTGTAGGAAAAGCTATTGACATCAAAATTATGAGATACAAATCTTCGTCCCAGATGATTCCATAAATTCAAATTTTATACCAATGCAAACAACAACAAGATGACGAGTGAATTTTAGATCTCTATTTTAAATTATTTTAACCACGTTCGAAGTCCCAGAAATTTAGGTTTGCTAAATATAATTACATGGAGGTATAACTTTCATTCAAAATATATTAAAATTGGCTGTTTACACGATAATTTAATTAAATAAAGTGAGTTTGTTAAAGAAACGATTTATTTTAAATATTTTTTTAATTACAAAACCTAAAAGTATAACTTTTAATTAAATTATATTTTAATATGAAAAGAAAACCATTGCAGGACTCTTTTTCTGATATGACATAGAATAGTAGAATACAAAGAAGCATTATTTGTAGGTGCTTTTAGCACAAAAGACTTGTTTTGGCTAACATAATAATCAACAAATTCAAATTTAAAAAAAAAACGGAACAACAACCAAAATAACTCTAAGAAATAAAAACCTTATAAGGGATTTTAAAAAAATTAAAATCAGCTGATTTAAAAAAATACCTATAAAAAGAGAAATTTAGTTTAGTGCCATAAGATTTAGTTTTTATCATAAAAGAAAAACTATTTATTAACACTGTATATACAAAACTGTATATCGTTTTGTATTGTATCATTTTAATGTATTAAATTGAATATAATTCTTAGACTTTATGTTAGACACTCTTTCCCAATATGTTTCCAAACGAAATTGTTACCAGCTTACAGAAAACGATTAACGGACGTGTCGAATATCGGGGTCACTGACCTACATGTGATATTGACATTGAATGTTAAGTTGCGACAAAGAAGATTTAAACAAATATAACATTACCATGTGTTCTAAAAGATTAACATGCATACAAGAATGTCTTTTAAAAAATTATAGAGTACCGTTATTCGTTACAGAATAAATTTTATATAGATATTGATTATTATGTACTGTTATTAAATTACACTTCATGCAAAGACAATGTAACAAGTTTTTTTTTGAACATCTAAAAATTACATATACATTTCGGTGGTAAACAAACATTCAATGTTTGTATTATTGATCTATATTCTATATACATAGTTATGCAACTGAGAACTGTACGAAAAGCAATTAATAAATTATTTTGAACTGGTGAAAATGTGCAAACAGTATAAACAGTAAAATATCAACCCAAAATTTGGAATCGTTAAATCTAGAATAAATTATAATTGACGAAAAATACACTGTATTAAATATTAAGATAGAGATATGTAAGTTTTCTGATCTAATGAAAAGACATCGTCCATAGACGAACATGTTGGAAAAAATAAATTACTGCGTTTTTTACAAATATTCTACACGTCTGCAAACTTAAAAGACAGTGTTTTGGTGAATGCTCCAACAAAAGATCAAAATCAAAAATTATTATTAAGTTAACAAATGCTGGTGATTGAAACATCGTTATTTATTGATGTTATTTATCAATTATATGCAATAAAAAATTGGCAAATGTCGAACTAAACAGAAGCTTTTTAAGCCTAAGTGAGGATATTACAACTTTGAACCCAAGGCATTACTAATAACCAATATATTAGTGTGAGAAATTGCGACACAACTTTTACTAGAGTTACCTTGGTCATATAATAAATAAAATTAGTTTTTGTGACATTAAAAACTTATTAACAAAAAAACAAAAAACGTGACTGAATTGGCAGATATTTGTTTATACCTTAGAAAACCATTTAGTACCATTTAGTATTTGCCGGATAAATTTAGAAGATCATTGTTTTTCATATGGGCAGTTATACTTTGCGTGTTCGCGAGTTTCGAAACCATCCGCTTTATTTGTGTTAACGTTAGACCAAAAAACAAAAAATGTGGTTTACAAAGGAGCACTTCAATGAAACGGATAATTTGCGGACACGTATAACGCTTCGATTCGGTATCTACTTTGGATTCACTTTCATTTACTTAGAGAAGTTCAACTAAATAACACTTCATTTTTGTAATCGAAATGAATTCATTACTGTTGTGAAATGAAATAAAAATTTTCCTTTTCAAATATAAAACAAAAAAAAATCTTCATCTTTTAATCACCAAACATAATCTTACATAAAACAAAGCCTTCTGGTGGCGAAACGGAATTCGCCGGGTTTACTAGTTACTCTATAAACAAAAATACAAAATATTTTTTATTTTATTTTATATAATATATAGGGACCTGCAATGGAGAAGCGATAACTTTTTTTACTAAATTTAGTATTTACATACTTGTTTATATTTTTTTAATATGGTGAATGTATTCCAGAAAGTATTTAATGAAGGAGCAACATTTAAAAAGAAACATTGGGAATCTATGGTCCAGTCTACGTCACGAACAACTGAACCGGGCATGGGACTGAATGTTTTGATGTAATACTACCGAGTTTACTATCCATCGCATCCTAGAATTAAGAAGTTGATAATTAAATACCTGGAGGGAAGGAAACTAATGCAAGTCCAAATTCATAGTCAGCAATATAAAAGACTCGATCGCAACGACAAATGTTTATTTAATACCAAATATGTATATAATACAAGTTACCTAATTTTGTTTCCAATAAAATGCTCTTAAGAAGGCTTTAAATAATTTAATATTTTCATAATATAAATTGTAAGAGAATTACTAGGTAACCTCGTTTGTAATTGTCTATGTACATACTGTAGCGTGTTCCACCAACTGCCAACCCCATACTTTATCAACCTACCCTGTTCACATAATACATACAATCAAAGACTAAACATAAAAAAAATCTCACAAAGCCATTTTTAACCGCGGGCACGACAATAGCAGGGGAACTATGTTGCGGTAAGACTACTGCCTCGGGTACAGAAAAAACCGCAAACTTACCGTAAAACCGCTATAAGAACGTTTTAAAGCAGATCGATAGAGATTGTGAGTTAATTTTAGATGTTGAATGCTACTTCCCAAGAATTACCGAGTAAATGTCACCAGATTTACTAACAATTTGGCTAAGTAAAGTGTATTATTGTCGCGACTGTAATTCTACTTATTTATTTATCAGCTCACACTGCACTTTACACACCTTGATAATTCTACAATACTCTTATGGAATTCCTCCTTTTTCCTCTTTTAGTAACGGAATGAAATAACCAACTTAGCCTTACAAAAAAAAGAATATAATTCCACAAATGGAAAAACGTTAACGTATTTGATTAGAAAAAACAAATCATATTCATTCTTGTTACGTTTAAAAGAAAAACGACTTAATTATTAATTAAACCTCACAATTATACTAGGACAATTATCTCTGAATGCAACGTTTTAAATGTTTTATAGTTTCTAGAGTTTAGTAATTAATGTTTTGTTAAGAATCATGAAAGACAGAATCAACAGTTTTAAAATAGCCGTGTTTTATTTATCTATTTTCTGTCATTAAAAATCTTTCGATGGTAACAAACTATCACAAAGTCGTTATATACATATATTTTGTGCTTATATTTTACGATTAACTAGAACCTTGTCGAAGCAAAATCTATCTGACAATAATCATGTGACTACATAGTATATTTGTTAAATAGAATGTTAACAACAGTTTTAAATGAAGAGACACATAGTAAAATAAACGTGTTAATACTTAATAGAGAATATTCCATTACGTGTTCAACTGAATTGATATCTAAAAATAAAAATTCTAACAATAATTGCTAGTTCCTTCTCTTGCTCGATTTTTAAAGAATCACCTGAATTACTAGTTTTTATTATGTATTGAAATAAGCAGGTTGAGATTCAAATACATAGTTGTATTGACTTATTGACTTCCTACTAATATTCCCATTTTCTGATTCTGGTACGAAATAGACGATATTCTTTAACCATCTTACATTCAAACATTTTCTAGAGTACTTAAATAAAATACATATCTGCGCTACCAGCTTTAATAACGGATGCGACTTGAAAATAATTTAAGGCTGTCATCAATTCTTATTAAACCTCATTAGTATTTATGATTATTGTTAAAAGTAAAACGAAATCAAAGGAGAATAGAACAATGTTTGAATTTTGAAAAAAATATGACGTCTGGACGCACGACGGCGGACTCCAGAATTGAGAATTCAGCATTGATAATTCAGAGTTCAGTGTGTGCGTATCATTGAAGTATGTGATTATAAAGAAACTTCTAGAAATACAGGAACATTAAGAACAATTGCAGTTTCATTTTAAAATATCATGCAACGCTCTAGAAGAAGGGACATTTGTAACGTCTGTGAGGCTGGCGTCTCTCCCTCTCTTTTAAAACCACGAATCTGTATTAAATCCGATATACACTATTAAAAATTTAAGGGACAAAATTATAAAAAATTCTGATGATTTTTTAAAATATTTTTCAGGATTTTTAGTTTTTTCGGAGTAAAAAATATATTTTAAAGCTTGAATTTGTAATTTTTAAAAATTCTAAAAAAACAGGAATTAAAAAGTATTACGCAATCTTAATAGAAATTATGAAAAAAATAGGGTATACAATTTTTCTCATTTTTGATGTAATCAACTTCAAAGAAATACATATATATTCCTCTTTAAAAATATTATTGTTCATAATTATTATAATTTGTTTCTTTTTTTTTCCAAGACGACCATTTCTCATTGAGCTATCGGTATTTAATTTGAAATCAATAATTTTCACTTTGTTCTTTCTATCTATTTCAAAAATCTATAGTCACTTTAAAGAATTCTTTAAACGGTACTGACATGACATTTATACTTTTTTCATTCATCCTTTACAAGACTTAAACCACAAAATAAGTATCCCACATGGAGTGTATTGAGAAAATTTGATATTAGATAATGATCCCTTAATTTTATCCAAATAAATCCATTTTACGATCCAAAAAAAATTTCAAACGACCCAAAAAAAATTTGTTATTTTTCATTTAAGTGTTCTTAAAAAAATTAAATCAACCGCTCAAAGTTATTTCCCTTCTTTTATCACGTTATGATAACCTCAGTTAAATATATTTCTTTTGTACTTGCAACAAGGAACAGCGTTGAATTGGATAATTTGAAAATTACAAAGCAGTAACAACTGTCCTGTGTTGCGATTTAGCATGCACGGCGAAATCACGAAGGAGAACACGAACGCTACACATAAAACGTATGTAAACAAAATTTTGTCATTAACAGTACTGAAGCTTTCCACTTAGGAAAAGTGTAATTGTCCAAAAGTTACAGATATATTATTTATTTATATGATTTTTGGGAGAAAAATCTCAGAACTGTATTTTTAAGAAGTTATCTTTAATATATTGAATCAATTTTACTATTTATTAATTACTCTAAATTGATCAAAGCCCTCACTAAATACTGTAAGGGATGCCAAGTTAAACAATTAACCTTTTAAGAAACATTTAGATACATATGAATAAATCTCTAAGGTACTACTAACAACAATAAAAAAAATCACAATAAAAACAAAAGAAAAAAGTTAATTAACAAATATTTTTTTTAAATATTTTCTGTGAGATCCTCTTAACACCTAATGTGTTTTTATAATTGATAACCAATAGTTATTTAAAATAGTATAAAAATAATAAATATATACATATGTAAATAATATGTATTATATAATAATACCTAATTTTATTTCGTAATGGCTTTACTGAATACATCTTTCTTTAGGACATATTATATTGTCAATTATGTAGAAGACACAGAAAGATATCAAAAAACCCTAAACCATACTTGCATGAATAATCCTACTAATATTATAATTGCGAAAGTTTGCGAGTGTGTGTGTATGTTTGTTACTTCTTCACGCTCTAACGGCTGAACCGATTTTGATAAAATTTTGTATACAGGAAGCTGACGCCCAGGATTAACACATAGGCTACTTTACAACCCGGAAATCCCGGAAATCCGCGGGTAACACCGCGGGGCGCAATTGGTATAATATATTTATAATGTATACATTATACAAAAATATCAACTAAACAACAATTCTTCTTTACTGTATAGTTTATATTAGTTATGCAATCAGATAAAAAAATAATTGCGCTTCCATTTTATATTTTTATAAAAAAAAGTTTAAATACACAAGAGCCCATTCCGGTAATCTGCGCTGAACAGCCGAAGGCGAAGATATTTTAGTATCATTAAGAATATTTTTCGATACGAGCTAAAAATTATATATTTTTTTTAGAGATTTATGTTTACGAAAATACAGACAAAATATGATTCACAATAGATATGAAACAATTTAGGTTTAAAACGTTTCAATTATGTTGCAATAGCTCCGTAAATGAAGGTCATAAGAACAGCTGATTTTAAGACTAGTCAACAAAAAGAATCATTAGTCAATATCATTTTAAAAGCATATCATTGATAATAATTCATTATTCCTAATAAATATTAAGCACATGACCTGGAATTTCCGTTATTTTGATACCTCATTTCAAACATTATATTAAAGAAACTATTATTAACATTTTTTAAATTTAAACACGGCGATCTGTCGAGGGTAACTTGGATTTTTATATATAATTAATCAAACGATACCAGGATTGTCGAAATCTAAATGCGTCCAAGCTTATAGATATTACAATATATCGCAGAAAAGAACTTTACAAACATACATATTTAGTATGTACATATATGATATTTTAGACAAAACCCTTAACCCTCCATAATGGTCAGGTAAAAAGGTGAACGGGTCAGATGTTCGTATATGTATAGTTATATACCGTACGATATTAGATTTCAAGAGAAATTGATTATGCCCCTAACCTTGACCGGCGAAATGGTAATGACATTTTTAAAGGTGAAATTTTATCATGGAAAGTTATTAAATTTATTCTATTTGTACTTATGCTTGTACCTTCAAAAGGAACAATAGTATACAAAACTTTTGACAATGCACAACACAAATCAACAGAGTATAATCTCTATATTAAATCACCAGCTCAAACATACAAAAGCAATTCAAATCTATGCAGCATAGAAATGTGAGAAACTTTACAACTATAACATGGGGAATTTGAAATTAAATTTTTCACATCATGATGCCTTTGGTCAGAATATAGCTCTATTTTATAAGCATTTGTAGATAAAAAATTATTTAATCTCTTTAATCAAGTTATAGCAAATAACACGTCCCTATATTTGTATACAATCTTGCAATAATTACAAGGCCTTTAAATTACCGTATTCCAAAATTTATCATTAGTAATAAACAAAGAAAAAATTAACCAGAAATCACTGACTTGAGGAACAGTGAATAATATATTTAGATACAACTTCAGAAGGATTTATTATTTATAGCTTACCAATATAATTATAGACGGAGGAGAAGTGTTTATGCCCAATAATTAATTAATTCTTTAATGTTACATTACAGAACAATGTAACAATATGTTTTCATTAAATTAAATCTTTCACTTTAATATCCCAATCCAATTAAATAAAATTAAAGTTGTTTTCAGGAATATTAATATTTTTAGATTAAGTATTAAATACAATAAACAATTAAACATTACAACTTACTGCTTCTTGATGAATATGTAGAATCTTTGGATGAGGTCCGTCTTGAGTCCCATTCCCTAGGTTTTTCCCACTGTGACACTTCACTGAGAGAGTTATAATAATACTTCTTTCCTGATGAACTAATGTGTTCTGACCATTCACCGCCCGAAGGCACGCTTGAAGTAGGAGCACTTCTTTTGTCATATTTACTACTTCTATTAACACTACTACTCATGCCACTAGTCCTACTTTTTTTCTCCGATTCACATCTTTCATAGTTATTTTTCTCCCTCTCACTGTCTTTGTTACGTTTCTCCTTAGGTGATCTGACATCTGTAATATTTTTATATAATAAAATATTGAAGAAACGAAATTATATACTGAATATATATCATAAGTAATCAAAATAAATATATATAAAACATAAAAAATCTGACAATTTCGCCTGCTGCTATCAATTATATCCTGAATAGATATTAAATTGAATATTTCATTCTACGCATAGCTTTAAGTACGCAAGCTGGGCTGAAAGCATTGGACTGAAAACATTAATAATTTAATAATATCACATATATTACTATATATTAAATAAACCTCATGTATAGTTAATCTCATTTGGCATCTCTTGCTCTCAATAATATTTTTACTATATAAGAGATTTAAGTAAAATAACCCTAAATTTCAAAGATGCATAAAATATTATGAAGTTTCCAATAAAAATTATTAGCTTCAAAAAAAATGGTAACTACCTCCTTATCTTACTTAACAAATAATATCCTAATTTTAAGATAAATATACTAACATGAATGAATGAATGTATAATGTATAATAATGAATGAATGTTTGTTAAAGGTTTTTTTTTTTAGAAAATATTGGTTTTGCACCACCTACACATTATTATAGAATAGGTATATTGGCTACCACAAAAAAAAGTATTACAAATGCCCTGGGACAAATGTATTTGGTACTTTAATTACCAAATGGTCCTCTTCAATTTAAAATAAATGAAAAAGTATGCAATATACATTATTACTAAATATTTCCATTAAAAACAAGATACTTAGTATTAAATCTAAGTTTTCAATATAACAATGCACTACATAACAGTCTAGCAAGTATTTAAAAAGACATTAAAAGTATTTTTTACTTAAAATTTAAACATACATAATACCATTTGGGATTTTAGAAACACAATCCATACTTAAAGAAATAAATAGAAAATATTACGTATTGCATTCCTGTAATATCACCATATTTATCTGTACTTTTATAAAAATTATAATTAATAAACATAACAATACAATATACATGTATAAAAATATGTAAATACCAATTTAATAATTATACAAAATAAATAAATGTAGTATTATTGTATTATATATTAAATTTCATGTTAATTCAACATTTTAATAAGTATAATAAAAGGTGTCTGACTTACCTGTATACTTATTTCTACAGGATTTGTAGTCTCTATCTCTCTCCTTGTCTGAACCTTTTTGGATGTAGGAGTTTCTTGATGTTGGATAGCCCCTGTCGTCAAGCATATGGTTGTAGTGGTGGTGGCCGTGGCCCGAATGCCCCGTGTGACCCCCATGGCCCGCAAGCGCACCATGGCCATGCGCTGACACATTACCATTCGGGGATCGCAGTGGTGTGTAGCGGTTGTCAGAAGTACTGTAGTCATTAGCAATTCTCTTGGAATTGTACTTCTGCATTACAAAAACATGACATATTAATGCATTTCTTTACTATGGATGCTTTTGTAAACATACATTTGTATATGGATATGTATATTCACTTTTGTTATAGAAAAAATATGCTATAGGTTAAAACGTAACCATGGGCCTAAATAGAATATTTTTGTTATTTTCAATAGACATTAACTCTCACTAGGAACCTATAAATTCACATATGTTTATTTTGCTCAAAATTGAGGCAAGCCTGTACTTGTAATGACACATATTTGATTTACAAACATTGCCCCATATATTCTTGTTTTTCATTACGTATTTATAGAGAAAGTAACAAAATATGAACTTAAATTAAAATTATAAGTTCTAAAGTTACTTTAACATCTAATTAAGTGTAACTGTAAACCTGACAACATTGAACACTTTTAGCTGGTTGTTAAATTAGGTTAACTGCAATACACGAAACAGTCAGAAGAAGAAATGTCGTGAGTTATTATTACGTAGAGGAATATATAAATCAACTGATAATTATATTCGTTTCATGTTGTATACATAACTGCTAGTGTTTATAACACTCCGTATAAGAATGCTTACCTGATACGGATGGGTCTGGTGCTTCTCAAAGTACCTGAAACAAATCAAAATGTTTAGTCCTTCACCCAAGTTACAGAAAAACTATCGGCGACCGCCATCTACAGATTGCTAAGCCGAGGCATCTAAAAGCGTCCTACCCATCGCTTATTCGCTGAGGTTTCCTTGCATGCATTACCATCAATGCAAATGTACGATTTATTACGGCCTCTGAAATAAAATTCAATAAGAGACCACTGTCATTAAAACAGTTTTATAGGAGGCCGTGATATTTCTTGATGGACGCCATGTCACATTCGAGACACTCTACTACTCAAGATAGAGTCAATTGAAACATGAAAGAGATAAAAAATGTATCGAGGACGAAGATTATAGAGGAACGACGAGAACGTCCGATAGTTGTTCAGCTTTGGCCGCATTGTCGATGGTAAGATAGCAATTTCTAACATATTAATATGTATATTATTTTACACAAAATTTAAAATTAATAAAGAATGTATTTTTATTCAAATACCTAATCAGAAGTTTTGAAAATATTCCTTATAAATTTTACAACAGAGCTTTTCTACACAAAAAAAAATTTTCGAACTGTTATGTACATGTACCTTCATTACTTGTAAGGTGTGATATTATTTACTTAAAATAAAATAACTCATTTATCATTATAAATATTTAAAATGTGCATAAAAACCATAAGTATGTAATTGTAATTTAATAATTATTTATCACATTTCTTACGCTTCTTATTCAAAATCTTGATGATTACAATTTACTTTATAAACATTTGGTTCAGTAGCATATATTTTTGAAATAGTATATTCGTCTAGCGTATTTTTAAAAGAATTATTTATTTAGGTAATTTGTATTCAAGATTCATAATTATTAATTAATTCAATTATAGTAAACAATTCCACAGACAAATCTTCTGAGTTTATAAATACTATAGTTATAGTATACATTTTGTAAATATAATCTGTAGATACCGTATAAGTCATAACCTATGAAAAAGTTGCCTTGCATTTAAAAATCTTTTTATACAATCTAAAAGTTAAAAGTTTTAAAGATGACGAAACCAATAGATTTAGAATTAAAGAAGGCTTTTTTAGAATTGCAAGTGAAAATGGTCGAGACAAGCAAAAAAATCCAAATGATTGATGTCCAAATAGGCGTAATGAAGAGAGTTTTACATCACGCAGATGTTACTCAACAAGAAATAAGTTACTTACCACCTGAAACAAAAACTTACGAGTCTGTAGGGAGAATGTTCCTTTTAACTGATTTGAAAGAAATAAAACAGAACCTTGAGAAAAGAATATCAGTATTGTCGGTTCGTACAGACGAATTAGTAGAAAATAAACAGTTTTTAGAAATGAATCTCCAAGAAAGTGAAGACAACATTAGGGAGATGGTGCAACAAAAGAAGGAACAGGGTGATTAAAGCACCTAATAAGTTTTTTTTAATTTCTCTTTACAACTTACTCTTAATGTTTTCCATATTATGCTAACACTTCCAATTTTTGTCTATGTAGGTTTTCAAACAATAATTATTTGAAATTTGCTTCAATAAAAAATATTAAAAAATGTAAAAAAAATATTTTAGGAAACTCATATTACAGTGTAGTATTTTGTTACATAACATTGTTATATATCACTTATCGCCTTATATTGTTAAGCCATTTAAGACATCACTATATGGCTCACTACAGGTAGTCGCAGCAATACATTGTTAACTCTTATATTAAATTGTATTTATTCATAGTAAAAATTTTTATATGTTCTATTGTTGTAATAAAAGTTAGCACATTATTATAATTATATGATATAGTGCCTAATTAACCACGTATAGTACAATATAAACTCTAAAACAATAGAATATTATATACACTGTGTCTATTATAACATGTCATGTCATATTTTTACATTAATATGAATCTGGCCAAATAGATTTTTGTAAGGCCCATATTTCAATTTTTATTGTTAATTGCTTCATAAACAGAAATATATTTAATAATGTCGTTTAATTTTTACATTCCCATTTTTCATCTACAAATTTATAATATTCATGTTTTTATAACAAAAATAGCATGAAAATAAAGTTAAATAAGTAATTAAAAAATGCATCTTATCTAGATTTTGTTACAGTAAAGATTTTATGCTTTCTTAATGTCTCAATAGCTTTTGTTTAATGTGAAGTGAAGTTTTTAATAGACAATCACATTTTAAAATAAACTTCTCTGTAGTATTTTTATATGTATAGATATATTCTGAAATTGGCAAATATTTCTTTTGTTTTCAAAGACTAGTAAAAATGTATTCTTAAACCTACAGTTCAAAAAGATATACCATGATTATTACAATATTTTCATTAATTCTAAATCAATAAAAAAGATAGCAACAAAATAATTTCTTTTTTAAATGGCACATTTTTATCTATGTCATATTAAAATACAAAGAACAAAAATAAGATACAGCTTTTAGTTGATAATTTCATGATTTTAATTATTTATAATATGTCTAAAACCTCAACTGCAATGTTTTGAACATTTTTAAGGTTTAATATAATTAATGTCACACTAATTTGATGAAAAAAGAGATCTTTACCATTATCAAAAGTTAGAATTGCTACACTATATATGGAAAAGTCTTAAGTTTTTCATTTATAAACCTGTGTTGATACTTTCATGTGTAAAGCTATGTATGTATATAAGGAATTGAAAACTGTCCATATGTTACATGATAATGCAAACTTGTTAAGCTACCGAACAGAATGCCTTTTAAAGAATACAGGTTTGACTTTTCTAATATTTTATTTTTTGTATACCATAAAATACTATTCCACGTCTTAATAATTCAGACCACCAACCAAGCACTATCTTCTATTTGCTGATCTTACCAAGTTATACTTTATGAAATAATAGAAATTGTTCTTGATTTTTATAATAAATAGTAAAAGTTATTATTGGGAACCACCATATATTTTAAATAACAAATCCTAATCTATTTTTGGCAAATTTGATTGAGATTGATCAGAAAATTTATTTATTAGAAAAATTTTATAGTATCGATAGTAATCTAGTCATATATAGATACATATCGTATGTATAACAAATATAGGTAACGCAATATAATTTTATACAAATCACGATAGTCAGTGACACCTATACTTTTTTTTCTATCAAAGTCGGCAAACGAGCAGACCGCCTACATGGTGGAAGGTAGTCACCGTCGGCCATAGACTTCTGCAACATAAGGGATGTTGCAGACGTGTTGCCGAACATGACTATGGAAGAGGAAGAGGAAAGGGTGGGAAAGGGAAAGAGCAATCGGCTCTCTCACTCATCGGATGAAACGCAGCCATTTATGGCTACTTCATGTCGATTTTTAGGGAAATGGTTGTTTTTTCCCGAGCCAGCCAGCTCTTTTTCGAGTTGTAGTCGTATAACTGCAGCTAGAGTCTACCATCTATAGTTCCAACCCTTCTTTCAATTCGAGCTCTAACATTATTATTATCTTGCTATATCATTTCTGTTAGCCTTAATGAATATGTGACAAAAACTTTAATTACTCAAAGTACCTATTGTATGTTGATACCTGTTAGGTATATATAGATTTTTTAAAACAGTAGTTTGGTTTTTAGAGAATGAATTCCCAACTCGAAACTCTAAGATGTGTCTTATTCTTGCCAAAAGGAAGTTGTTTTCTACCGTATTCTATTCCATGAAACTGGATAGATTTAGTACATGAAGTTACAAATTCAGCATAGTCATGTCTAAGGCGGCCAACCGTCCCGCATTCTGCGGGACCGTCCCGCAATACTAGACGAAATCCCGCTTTGAAATTATTAGTAAAATAGTCCCGCAAAACGTTGTATGCGTCCCGCATGTCCCGCATCCCAATTTTTCTACCACACTTCTACACAACACCCATACGCGCCCACGGTCAACAGTGTAGGAACACAGATTACCTATAACATGGACAAGCGTAGCGCGCCCGCGATAATCTCGTTTTCTTTCTTTTTACTTAAATTTAATATGGGCCATTGCGAAGATTTTTGTGACATTCCCAATCTTTAACACCCCCCCCCCGCCATTCATGAAAGGTTAAGTCCCGCATTCAGTTTTCGGAAAGTTGGCCGCCTTAGTCATGTCCAACCCTAGGATAATTTTTTTTTGTAACGAAAATTGATCTCAGTCCTGCCGTTTTGACATCATTAACAGTAAAATGGGCGGGTGCCGAAGTATCGTTTAAATGACAATAACAGTTATCTATACAGAGTAATAAAAAATGTTAACTTTGTTTTACAAAAAAAAGTTTTTATCTATGTCTCCAACATTGACTTAGAAGAGTTTCAATTTCAGGTAATAGTGTGCTTATATCTATTATTTGAATGATAACTCGCAAACACGCAAAAAGGTCGTTGAACTGTAATCTTTTTTTTTAATGTCCATCCAGCGCAATTTTACGTTTATTTGGATCATCTGAATTTTTGGTTCAACCATTTTTTCTATACAAACTATTCTCTAATAAATTAAGGGTAGAGATATTTTTGAAAATCTTTATTTTCATTTTTTTACACATAAAGAGTCATTTTCAATAATATTCTTACAATATGAATCTCTTAATACTACTATAGAATTAAACATATGTATTCAGCAAAAGTACTTAAAAGAACGCTAATAAATCATTGATTTAAAACAAGATTTAAAGTATTTACACAACAACATAATGTATGAAATTATAACATAAATTCTAATTCTAAAATAACAATACAATTATATCTGTGACCTTAATAAGCATTAACCCGTCGTAATATAAGGCTTAAGGGATTTGCAATTTTGCAAAATTATAAGTAAATTATTATAAAGTTTGCCAAATTATTATAAAACAAAAAAAATATATGTTTCAAATAAACATGTTACGTCGCATTAAAATATATATACAAAAAATATTACAAATAGAGTGTCTATACTAGTGATTAGTACTGTGATTTTTAAAAGTCAACTTTTTTTCACAAAAATTCTATGAATTAGTAGAGACAGGAAAGGAAAGATACATTTATATTTTTCTAACAACTAATAACATTCATGAGTCAACACAAGTAACTATACGCTCTGTCGTCGCAGGCTAAGATTCGTAATTATTAATATTATTATTATTATGCAAGAAAAACAACAATTATGTATTTTAAACATTAAATTTGTCATGCTTGAGGCAATTACTGCCATTAATTATTAATATGAATATGGATAAATATTTTGACATCAATGCTATAATTCTACAAACAACATAAATTTTCCTCTAACGGTTCTTACATCGATAGTAGACGTAATTTTACATCCTATAGACGTGTTGGTGATTTTACAGCCAAGATGGTCTGTTGATCGCATCGTAGGGTTGCCGCACGCTGAGTGGCGCGGTGTAAGCAGCTGGGTAGAGGCTCATGATCTGTGCTCCCGTCTGACGCTGGAGCTCTTCCTGGTACCGCGCCAGATACTGCTGGTAGAGAGGCGACGATTGCTCAGAACCGACGAACGGGTACGCGCTACGGACCTGTGCATGACCTATAAAGGGATATGAGCTGGTATGATTAGAATTCTGGTGAGCTGGTTTCACTAGCTTTTCAGCGTTTGTATCATTGGTTCTGTGTTGGTGGGCGACAGCCGCTGCCACATAGTTGGCAGCCATTAATTGATTCGTGCTGTTTCTGAACCCTTCTATAGAAAATCCCCCGTTATCACCATACATACTACTCAGGGCCATATTGGTGCCAGTACCAAAATTGAATGGCATCATGTTCGATTTCACGGATGTTAGTACATCACTACTTGAAGTGGGATGGTATGAAAGTCCAAGTTGCGGTGAAGGCAGCTTTGTATCCGAGGACCTTTTCCTCTTCTTTTTAGTGTCCGTCTGTGGGCTTGCCATTGTGGTTGTACTTTTGTAGATACCATTGTCTTTGTTCGCAACATGTATTGGTGGCTGGGAGTAGACGCTGATGGGTGTGCTAGATGGATGAGCATCTGAAGCCATTGTTTTATTAAACATTTGAGCCATTTGGAACGTCTTATCGTGATACAACGTTGATGTACTGTTCGCGAAACTGGCTAGATATCTTTCGTCATTCGTATATCGTTCCAGCATTTGAGACATATTTGGCAAATTACGCAGTGTATCCAAAGGTATTGATGAATGAGCAGTATATGGTGTCTTGTAAGGTATAGATGATACCAGTGGATGATTTTGGATATGTTTTTCAGATTTCTGAGGCTTTGCATGTTGTTCCATTGTCTTGGACAAAGTATTGCTATCGCTGGTGGTTGTAGCGGTATTACTCGAATCAACCTTTAGGTGGCTTCTTGGATTGGGTATTATTAATTCAGTAGAAATATTTTGATGTGCTTCCTGAGGTCTTGGTAAGCTTGAACGAGGGACGTTGTT